TGCTCTGTTCGGTGATGCGCATTCGTGACTCTCCTGTTCGAACTCGTTTATCAAAATGAACGAATCTTTTTCTGAGTCAATTCGTTCATTTCGTTCGCTGAATCAACCAAATGACACGAAAAAAGATTCGTTCATTTTGATGAGCGAGTTCGAACAGGAGAGTCACGATTCTCCTGAACAGAGCATCACAGAACAGAGCAAGGTGACCATTTGAGCTTATAAAACACTTTTTTTTTAAATGAGTGATTGTTTCACTTGATAAGACCCTTATTCATCGTCTTGAATCATTTATACCCTTTGAACAGTTTGCAGTTTGCACTGAAACTGTCTTTTGGACCTTGAGCTGTTTGGTTACCAGTAAAGTGCATTATATGGAGAAAAATCCTGAAATGTTTTCATCAAAAACCTTAATTTCTTTTCGACTGAAGAAAGAACGACATGGATATCTTGGATGACATGTAAATTAGTAAATTATCAGCAAAAGATTTTTTTTTAAAGTGAACTACTCCTTTAATAATACAAAAAAATAAAACTATAAATAGGGTGTAATGGTTTTCGGTAAAACATGGAAATGCACCGTTCTCCACCCACTGTTCGGCACGCACTTGCACCGCAGTTCATCTCAAATCTGAAGACACGTACGCATTTAAAATATGGTTTGTTGAAAATAACTATGCGTCAAATAGACAGTGAGTAGTGTTTCCTGTCGATAGATTCGCATTCTGGCTTCCCCTAAACTTCGTTCAATGCGAGTGCCGTACGCTCTTAATATATGACCAGTCATTTGTGCCGCCATCATGCGAGCGCAGGTGAGACTTGAAAAGCACATGTTGCTATCTGTGTGTAAACTAATTTAATCCTTGTCCATTTAAACATTCAAGCACAAGAAGGTGTGAAATAGAACTTAAGTGCGCTGTGAGAAGATGTGTGTGTGCACAGTGAACACATCCGATGCCACGTCTCAAACAGTGCGCAAATATTGCGTTCTCAATAAATATTATAGAATATAAATAACATTTTTCCAATCCAATTGTAATCTATTTGTAAAGAATGTCTCAAAATTATCTTACTGAAACAAATTTTCCCCAAAAAAACAACAACCATCGTGTAAAAAGCATGGACTGATCTAACACAAGTCACAGGGGCTAGGTCTTAAACACACATAAACGGGTCATTCCTATGCACTGAATGAGCAGCAGTGCAGCCAAGCTCTGGGTTAAGTCTTTTTTAACTTTGATCTGCCTTCACGTAAGTCGTCGTGAAAGAGAGATTGCCGAGTCTCAGTGAAAGACTTCAGTCAATCCTATTAGCAGCCTTAAGTCTCAAAGCAAATCTTGTCTCATTTTCACAGAGCGTGGACCCATCCTCGAGCGGTCACAAGCCACTGTCACCATGGCAGCTCTCCTCCACCAGACGACCATTTACCAAGGTAATTAAGCACTGCATTCTGGGTAAAATAAATGTTCTACTCTTTCAAGAAGATTAGCTCAATGAGCACGCCACAGGCAGTGAGATGAGCAGGCAGAACAATGAACTACAGGATAAAGTGGCGCCAAAGAATGGCTTCCTCGGATAAAACGGTGTGGAGAAAGCAAGTTCTCTATGAGTGGCCAGGGGCCGGTAGACTGGAAAGTCACAAAAGCACTTCTCTAGCTGTTCAAAGATTAACAAGCAAGCATCATTTTTCATCATTCTAACAGTCAACGCCTCAAAGCTACGTTCACATTACAGATTGATATTTTGTACTTTGCAATATTTGCAAGAATAAATGAATGAAAAAAGAAATGAGCTAGAGAAGCACTCATCAGAAACTGTGTTGGCAAATCATCATCTGCTTTGTCCAAGAAAAGTGCCACTGGCAATGAATGACAACAGTAGTAATGTGCACCTGGGCAGTGATGAGTTAAATGAAAGAAATACATGAATTGAAGTCTAATAGTCTATGCTGAGATCTTTGTACAGTAGTGGTTTTGCTTCCGGACCCACAATTTACCTGAAGTGATGACCTAACACAGTACCAAAATTGTTTATTTTAATGTTAAGGGGTAAACAGAAATCATTTGGGTAGAAATATGTAAGTGACATGACTAGAGGTGAATATTTGTTCATTTGTTTTTGAGGATGAGAGTATGTTACCCAAACTGTTCACATTGGGATCTGGCTAATTTGGTTAACTTCTACCTAGTGAAAAATGAAAAACGAGATCGGACATTCAACCTTTGACGCCAATCACCAACCACATGGGAAGCATTTTCACCACCCTTTAAAAAAGTTGATTAGAGTACTTTTGAGTAATTTGAAGTAGAGTAATCATAGAGTAATTTGCTATGCTAAATACAGTTTAATTGCATATTATAACATTGCTTATTTTCTTGGCGTCCCATCCAAACCTGCGAACCACCAAATGAGAACCACATTTAGTGATTTATTTAATTAGCCAAAAACAGATTTGAAAAGCTTATAATTAGACAGGTGGGGTGGCCATTTCCATCTGTAGTGTGCACAGGTTTTAGTATGCAAGTTTTGCATAAAAAAGACAACTAATATGACCCTGTCTTCTGTCTGCCTAGTAACCACAACATGTGATCACATATCACACATGTGGTCATGACATCTTGCATATTACACCATGAAGCCTGGAAGAAGAATTCTAGATTTTGGATTCAAGGTGAACGCATAGCTAACAGAACACATAATTAAGATTAAGGATAGGCCTATATCAGACACTTTACAATAGGGGTTGACCGATTATCGGCGCCAGTATTAAGCATTTTTATGGTTATCGGTATCGGCCATTTTCAAAACCGATTTGCCGATAAAAGAATTTTATTTTGAAATGCGCTATATTTGGCTCTAACGCAGCCACCTCTGTCAGAACTCACCACTCTGTACTTATGTCCCCGCACATCTTTTTGTCAAAACCCTTTGATATTCTTAATTTTGACATTAATTTACAGTTTTACACCAGACATAAGCTATAATATATATATATATATATATATATATATATATATTATATTTGAAGCAATATATATGTATATATACATTATACATATATTAAAATATCGGTTATCGGTCTATTTGATCTGTAATAGTCGGTCGACCCCAACTTTACAACCTTTAATTAAATTTGTAAAGTAAAAAATAACAGATCCATCAGATTTGATTCACATAATTAACATTGTATCAAGCAATGTGCTGCTTATAAACTAATAAGCTTATTTTGAGTCTGGACTATTCGTGTTATAAACTGTTTGACAATCCGCACACACACACACACACACACACACACACACACACACACACACACACACACACACACACAAAAGTGTTAGATTAGAAAAACTTACTTAAAACCTTGAGGTGAAAAAAAAAATAGAATAACCAATCTATATTTACCACTGGAAAATGCAACATGACATAACCTTGAGCAAGCCATTCCAGAGCCTTTCACATTAATCAACCTACTGACTCTCCATGTGAGTAGATGAAATCATGCACTTTCAATGTCATTTTGCAAAAGATGACATTGAAAATGCATGATCTCATCTACTCACATGCAAAATGACATCTTAATTTTTAGACAGCCACTGCCTTGATTAGACTGAAATGTTACATGTTGATAAACCTATCAACTGCCCTGCAAATATGTGACATCAGTATCATTTCCAGTGAAGAACAAACAGAGGGAATCTGACTAGTGCAACGATAACAAATACATTCATCCATTCATCATGTAGGGTCAGCCTATCAGCATGGGTGAAGTCATTGTATAACACAAAAGACAATCTAAATGCGATCAACGCTTATCATTATTTAAAAATAAGCCACCACCCTTCCTCATCATCATCACAAGACCATACAGAACTCACTCTGTTCCTTACAGCAAGATCCAAATTTACTGACTGACCTGATGGCTCCAATTGGCAACACATCTATGCAGTAATTGTTAGTTACAATTAAGACATCCCCTCAAATGAGCAGCAAGAAAAGGGTTGGGATTGAGAGTCTTAAAGTAGTAGTAGTATTTTTGCTTAGAATATATATTTTAAACAATGGTTTAGGAACAAATAAAGTTAGAGTCTCCTAAATTTTTCTTTCACATTAAAGAAAAGAAAAAAGTAATTAGTGTTATGTTTAAAAGTTACACCGTGTCCATAACCAGACAAGATAATATCCCGCGGCTAGTGTGCAGAGCACCACAGAGTAATCTTGACGGCTACATCAAATTCACAAATATTATAACATTTTAACATTATTAAAAATCCATAGGCTACTGGGTTACTACAATGTTCATCAGAATACACTTGTTTGTTCACAGTTTGAACGTTCTTGTTTCCATTCGCTTAATTCTTAATATCTGAGGTGAATTATCCATAACAAAAGTCTATTTGATGTAATGTTTACATCTGGAAGACGTGAGTGTTTGCTCATCTGCAATACGTTTCCTGTCAGATGTCAAATTGACGTTTAGTAGATGTCTTTAAAATGAAATGAATGTATGTTAAACTGACATCTTCTAAACGTCTATTTGACATCTGACAGGAAACGTCCTATAGACGTATTGCAGATGAGAAAAACACTCTTAAAAATACGTCTTCGAGATGTAAACATCACATATCGACTTGTAGCCTAGGCTACTATTGTTGCTTACACAGCTACAAATCGAGGAGCACTAAATGATTCAATGATTCACATTGCATGCTTTTAAAGCGCATTAACAGTAGGCTACCTGAGATTATCTAAACTTTGTGTTTGTTGCTCCAGCACGACGTCGCAGAAAAATAGAAACCGTTTCTAAAATAGAATCGTCGCGTGTCGCCGTCGCGGTTGGTTAGGACAAAAAAAAACCCTCCTAAACAACCGAGTATTTTTTTTTTCGTGAAAAACAAAAAATGTATCACGGTGTAACTTCGCTAGGGGCGCCATAAGACAATTTGGGTTGCGTGAGGCGAACCTCAACCAATAGAAGATTTGACTCCCCATCATCATTAGCCTACCTGCAGTTCACACCAAGCAACCTCCACAGTGGTCTCCGTATCCAAGCCTTTGTAGACTGTCTTAAAAGACCCCCTTCCGATCTCAATGTTGAATTTCAGAAACCTTCCATCAGGTGAAGTCGCCACAGCTTTAGTCTCGACCTCATCCTTTTCCTCCTGTTGGCGTTTACTCTCAAACTGGGCTCTTGACAAAACGAGCTTCTTCTGGGTGCTTTCATCATCGGAGTCCGAGCTAGCATCAGCCTCCTGTGCGCTGGGCTCCTCGGTGGCCCAGGAACCAGTCGGTCTCGGGTCCGAGTCTTGCGTCTCAGGTGGTGAGCTGGAGACAGGTGACATTGGAGGAGAAGAGTCCGTCTTTTTCTCCTCGCTGGTACTTTCCGATAAAATGTTGTCGGCTGACCACGAAAGAGTTTTTGTCAAAGGCACGAGTCTCTCCTGGGACTCTACATCCGTGGTGTGGAGTTTGTTAAACCTGTAGGCATTTCTCCTGGAGTTTGCCGAGTGTCTCCTCCGTCTCGGCGGCAGGCGAACTGGGAAGAACGAGTCCGCGTCCAAACCCGCAGGCAACTTCGGGAAGCCAAGACCAGCCACGTCAACCTCAGCCTGTGACATTGTAGTCGATATCTGTGCTGTTAACATTAGAATTACAGCGCACAACTTAATGCATTATTTGTCGTTGCATTTAAGAATTTCTCCATAATAACTATAGGCTACGTTTACATTTAGTTCAACAATATTCCCTCCAAACCATAACAACAGCTCGAGAACGACCTTCTCCAAGTGAGCAATGCAGATTAAATGTAAAACGCGACTATAAAACAAACGACAACGCAAGTTAACGTTCTGTTGAAATGTAACGAAAGCGTTCTCTACTGAGCGCGCGCTGTGCCTTCGCTTTCCAACTGCAAGTGTGTGTCTACTCTACTGCTAAGCGCTATGGTTGCTCCTCCCCGTGGAAAAAACACCTTAGTAATTAGTCTGTGAGGGACCACTAACAGTCAAGCTGCAATGCAATCCCTCACGTCTCACATATTACAGTCGTCTATTATGGAAAGCCGTGCAACAAATATTTATGCTTTAGCATGTTATTACTGGTAATTATTATTGAAGTAATGCAAGTAATTATTCCAATAGTGACAAGTATAGGCTACCTTTTCCTTTCATTAGGTCTGATATTATAGCGACTAGTGACTATATCTGTTCAATTAGTATTTATTCATACTAGGAATTATTCCTTTGAAATGGCCTAAGTCAAATGCTAAGGTAACAATTTGCTCATTTTAAAATTACCATTAAATTTCACAAGGATCTGAAGTTCAGAAATATTCACCCCAGATCATTTTAGTTCAATCTGCATTTAAAGTTTTGCAATTTATGAGCCTACCAGTGACAATGAAACTATTGGGAAAGTGTTGTCTGCAAATATAGTTAATAATTTTATAGAAATTGGTCCCTAATAGAATTAGTAATCTAAAATAAAAGCAGAAATAAAAATTCGATAATAGATTCCAGTGTAACGGAATACATGTTGAACGAATCTGCTTGCCACATGTCTATTGCTTAAGTTACCTTGGGTTTGTCTGTTGCAAGAGAGTTAAAGTCATTGAGTTAAACTCAGTGCAGGGAAACCCAAATCTTTGAAATCATGAAATCAAGAATCAGTTGCTTAATAAAAAGCTAATAGTAAGTATCAAAACTTACCTATTTTAAAGTGAAAAAAAAAAAGAAATTATTTCTGATTGGTTGGTCTTAGCCCCTTCATTACAATCATAATAGTCAAGCTTAAATCTGCCATTGTACAAATTCTTTCTGTATTGAAAATGATTAAATCATGCAGTAGCCTATTCCATTTGAATTGCATGCAAGAATGATGCCAAATATTTTAAGAATTAATATGTCAACCACTAATATAAATTTTGGGGAGTATGTGCACCCCCTTAATTTAGTCATGACCTTATGATCATGCTACAACAAGTAGGCCGTATACATAACAGAAACTAATAATAGCTGATCAGCTGATGAGCAGTATCAGAGTTGCATAAAATCTTTATGTAAGCTCAGACACTTTGATACACATACAGTAGATATGTTTGACAATATGACATTACACGACACATTTTTAATGGCTTCATGTGACTAGAAATAGTATCCAGTTCACATACAGCAGCAGTCACTGAAATTTTGTTTTTGTTTTTATGCCTTAGTTTCCTGATTGCCAATAAAAGGACATGGACTGCCTGTGATCGCACAGAAGTGTGAGGGTCAGTGAGGGTCTAGGCACTCCAAAGTAATCTTTTTACGACTAAGTGTGTGTTTTTATTGGCTTAAATACTCTAAGGATTAACTTTGAATCTTGTTCTACCAGCGGGCCACCAGGGAGGTTTTATCTGTAGCGACAAGTGACTTGACAACCGTGTTTATGTTCATTTACACAACAGTGATCCATGGAGCATCCATGAACACTCAGGGCAGGGGAAATAGAATAATTCACTCAAAAATCCCCCAGTCCAAAAGTGTATCCAAACAACATTGGACCCCATTGATTTCCTTATACAAACCTAGAAGCATCTTTAACATCCATGGAACATTTCCACTGTTCAAAAGGTTTTTTTATAGTGGAAAAATATCTTTAGATTAATAAAATGTGCTTCACGTTCACCCTTATGTTATCCTAATATGGCATCGCTGTGAAAACAACCTTTTGGAACGTTTATTTTTAACCCTCTGGTCATTTTTGACTGAAAATGTTTTATGTTTTTTATTATTAAATTTTTTTAAAATCATTTTTTACTTTATCTGAATTGTAAGAAACTTGGCACTTGCTATATGCAAACACACACACAAAATCATGGACATAATGGTCCTGAAAAATAGTCATCACACCTGTACTCCTCAAAAATGAACGCATTGGTAATGAATGGGAGACGAATTTCATCGGTTGAAATTTTTTCGTATTGCGGCCAAACAAAAACTTACTGAAAGCTCGTTTATTTTAGATATCAAGCTCAAAAGTGGAACTTGTTTATATTTATGGCTTTGATTTGCTTGCAGTTTTAGAGTAAAATGTGTTTTTGAAAATATATATTTAATTTAACAACTGAAAAAAGTATTTTTGCGCATTTTTCATAACAATAAACGTAAAATTCTCTAACTCTTCTTAGGTTGACTTTTTTCACTTCAGCAAAAATTTCGCCAAGTCCACATAGTCTAGAAAAGAAATCAAACTTAAGTCTGTGCTTTAAAACATTCAAGAGTTACGACTGTTTAAGTTTAGAAATTTAGTAATGTTTGATATAATTAACTAAAAATAAAGTGAATGAATGGATTATAACTACAGCGTAAATAATTTAGTATGCAACAAAACCTTTAAAATACTTAATATTAGAAAAAAACATTATCAAACTAAAATATAGAACATTAATTTGAAATAATGCATTTAAAAATCATTTTAGACCAGCAAGCGAAGAGCACCGGATGGTTAAGAGCATATGGACGAAAAAAGGCTTTCTTTGAAATATGTTCTTTTGTGTCATCCATTTTTGGAAGTGAAGTGAATAACATGAAGGTCAATAAATTATGACCGAATTTCCTCTTTTGGATGAACTGTTGAGCGACTGTTAAGTGTCGTCTAAAACAGTATTAGAACACCAAAGGCTGTTTGCTTGCCTTTTTGTGATGGCTTCACTGGAAAGCTTAGTTGAGCTGAGTGACCGAATTTCACAAGCAAAATCACGTGTCTGAAAACGATAAAAAAAGATATGTGGACCAGAATGGAGCTACAGATGAGCTTGTGTGGAGGAGATATCTCTGACCCCCAGAGCGAGATACTTTATAGCTAGGAGATGTGCCTGGGGCTCTGAACTGACCCATGTGACACACAAGCTCAAGACAGACTTGTGTCAGTGCACGCTTATCAGGATCAACATATTGCTGCTCCGCCTCTCTACAAATCAACCCCTCCCTGTTTAAAACTTTTGCAGAATCATTTTTATTATTAGAACATCTTGTTGGATTGAGAGATGAGGACATATGCAGTATATTCTTGTGACAGAAGTGGGACATGTGAGAGAGGTGATGACAGTTGTTATTCTCACTAACAGTGATGGCCCCGCATCACCTTTCTATGTGTCTCTGCGCAGGGTCTTTATGGAGGGGATATGCTTCCAGGACAGGAATAAACTCAAGGAGCAGTTTAGTTTTATAGATGAGTCAATACAACAAAGTCCAATTTATATGGTTCTGTATATCTTATATGCAAGTTAACATTAAGAATTACCAAAAATAATATTTCCACTCGCCCATGCTTTTCTTTATAATAACAATAATTATTATTATTTATGAATTCATTTATTGCCCTATTCGCATCAAATGCTATTTACAAAATATAAATAAAATAACTGCATAAAATCTAAAAGAGAAACAGTTGTTTGAAGTTGCTTACGCCACAATAAGGCTTAAATATATGTAACTTGGAATTTTTCTTTAATAAAAAGTTAAATTTCACATAGCTAGCTCGATGGGCTACGACTTTGCAGATCTTAGGAATGTTATAAATACTGTATGTACAATATTTTATGACATTATGACATAAAGAACGACATTTTTATATTCTCCAGATTTCTCAGAGAAATCCTGTCCTCTATGTCACTCATTAATTTGTTTCGTAATAATGTTCTTAAGTTATGTTCTTGGCTGGAGAGGTACAGTGTGTCCTAAGCTTATCAAGATTTGAGTATTTACTGTGAAAACAAATTACCATCACCTACTCCTGATGGGTCTGCAAATACTGCCATCTAGTGGAATACTTTTTTTAAAGTTACAGTAAATATTATTATAACATGAGCAAAAGGCAAAGACAAGGAATGAATCAAATAAATACAAATTTATTGAAATCATTCCTTAGTGAAATATGCATTCATGAAGGCATTTGCATTTTGCTTTGTATCATAATGTGGCCACTGGAAAATAAATTTTCATTGCGACTGTATGCAAAAGATCAACAGTCTCAAACATCAAGACAAACGTTGACAGTCTTGGCAACATTTCACACCTGCGGCTCCTTCAAAATCACCAAGACTAAGAGTTGGCCCCCGTCCGAGGCCCTTTCATGACGAAGGTCTTTGCCTCGTCATCAATCTCGTCCATGATTCTCTCCTGCCTGACTGAGAGAATAGTGTAGCTGACTGATGGATTGATGTAGTAGTTAAGGCCATTAAGTCACACAACTGGAGTATGAGTAGCCTATGAGAAAATGTGCTATTCACATATTTAACGGAAAGAAATGGATTATGGTGCTACCATCACGTGATAAACAAAGGGCCACCAAAATACCAGTGTTACTAAGATTAATTACACACTGCCATTCAAAAGTTTGGGATCAGTAAGTTTTGAAAATGTTATGTTTTGAAAAAAAGGTCTCTTCTGTCACCAAGGCTGCATTTCAGAAATCAGTGTAAGAGGATGACTTGCTGCCCAAGAAACATTAAGGCTATTATTATTGATGTTGATGAATAGAAAATTCAAAAGAACAGCATTTATCTGAAATATAAAGCTTTTGTAACATTATACTAGCCAGACGTTGTCGTACTCAGATTCTAGTCAGAATGTGAGTCTGATACTGCTCCATTGGGCTGTGATTATAGGGTGTGTTTCAACAAAACCAGGAAAGAAAATGCCTCTGCACTCAATTTGATTGACAATTCCTTGATCACGGTTCTCTGTTCCTCTTTTAAAATGATTGCGCTGTCTACATCTTCAATAACAGAAGCAATGGCTATAAATTCTCCAGCAGCAGCCATCCTTTGTTGTAAACGGATTCGACCCAAGCACTTTTTGGTGACGTGGATGATTACATTACTGTTGATCATCTGTCTATCATCGTATAAAGCCCGCCCTGACAATTTGATTGGTCCGAACAGCTTTGGTTCGGGCATACTTGCCTCACACTGGATAAAGTCTAGACCGAACTTCCCATACTCGAATCTTCTGAGCTGGGCTTTGTTTGGCTGGTATCCAGGCTAACATTATACACTACCGTTTAAAAGTTTGGGGTCATTAATTTTTTTTTTTTTGAAAGAAATTTACTTTTATTCAGAAAGGATGCATTCAATGTATCAATAGTAACAGTAAATAATGTGACAAAAGCTTTCTATTTCAAATAAATGTCGCTCTTTTGCTGTTTTCTCTATTCATCAAAGAATCCTGAAAAAAAGTTACATAACAGTTTTCAACATTGATTGAATAATCAGAAATATTTTTTTAGCAGCAAATCATCATATTAGAATGATTTCTATCTGTTTGATTTAGATTTGTCATCACTGGAATAAAACGCATTTTATAATATATTCAAATAAAAAAGCTATTTTAAATTGTAATAATATTTCACAATGTTACGGTTTGATTTGTATTTTTTTAATCAAATTAATGCAGCCTTGGTGAACAGTCCTGTTTTACCAAGACATGTCTTGTTTTCATGTCATGTCCTGGCGGTTTTTCATAAAGTTATGAAAATGTCCTGGCTTTCAAAAAACTGCTAGGAAAGATCAGCTCTACAGCAAAACATATATGGGCAAACAATGAGGATGAGGAAGAAAAACAGGAGGAAGAAAACTAAAGATTTAAATATATTGTGTTAGTTCGTTTTTGTAAGTTTGTGAAAGCTATTTTTGTTCAATTTGGAAGTATTTCTTTTAGTTACTTATTATTTATACATTTATTTTTCTAATAGACCATTTCACAAGATGTAAACAACACTGGTCCAGAAGCACTTCCTGTTTCAGTTTGTAACTGTTTTCTTTATTTCACATGTAAAGAAAACATTGTAAAGATCTTTGTTTAAATTTTTGATTCAGTTTTAAATGTTCTGTTGGTTGTATTTTATCCCAGCTTTTATGTAGTGTTAAAAAACTGAAACAGGAAGTCCTTCTGGACCAGTGTTGTTTACATCTTGTGAAATGGTCTATACAGAAGAGACATTATTTCTATCATTATTTCATTCATTATTTTTGAAACCTGTCATCATAAAACGTAACTTCTGAGAAGCAAGAGTAACTTCTATCCATACAGAGGAGGCATAGCTTACTTTAAATTGAAATTAATAAGGCGTCTTTGAATAAACTTCGAGTATCATTTGAGTATCTGTTTACCGGGCTGAGTGTCCTGGTTTTTGGTATTCAAAATATGGTCACCCAGTAAACACAGTTTTACTCTAATTTTACAGCATTAACGATGGTATTTTATAAGAAACTGGTTCCCATATTAAAAAGAAATAATAATAATACCAGTAACGTTCTAAATTAACGTTCTAAAATAAATTGCCAGAGTAGGAAAGTATGAGCAACATTATTACATAGTTTTTCAATTAAATGTGCAAAACGTTGTTTATCCGCTTATGAAAATAAATCATTTGAGGCTCAGCTGTTATGTTATGAAATTGTGAAGGATACATAGGCCCACCACAAAGGCTCCGATGGTCAGTCCCGTGATCAAATTACGGCTTCGGATTTGTTTTGAGTTCCTTTTCCAATATTCCAGTTCCTGCTGTCTTTTAAGCAGCTGTTTCTGGGCAGGTGTAAGATGTTTCGGGCCTGCTGAGGACGAGTTCTGCGTCTTTTCCTCCATGTTTGTTCCGTCATCTGTGACGTCAGACGCTGCACCAATCAAATCATCCATATGCGAAGCGTCAGGTGTCTCGCTGTGAACAACCAGGAGGTGTCGCTTTAACTACGAAGAATATTTTGGCTATGAGTTTTCCAACCAGGAGTAGTTAGATAGTAAAATTAGGACAAATAAGTAGCCTTTTAAACGTACCGTAGATAAAAAAAACCTAACGTGTGCTTACAGTTAAAACAGCTCAAACATGCCGTCTAGGACTACAATGAAACTGGGCATTAGTAGGCTACTAAGCTAAATTAAAACTCCTCAATCTATTATTTCATTATGGAGAGCCAAACCCAAAACAATTAGATTCATAATTTATTTCCCAATGAGAATATAATTTATATTAAAAAAAATGTGTACAAAAAGTTGTACGTTCAATTAATTTTCTCTTTCTATACATTTTATTTTACTACTAAACTATTTAAGACTATTTTAGTCCATAAAAAGACTAAATAATAAGAAACAATCATAGATAGTGTAGTGCAGGAAGATATAGTAGAATAATGCGCAATTAAAAAAAATCTTAATCACACATTTCTGACAATTAAAAAAGTACTCAATCTTGTTTAAAATTGACAAACTGGGGTAACACTTTATTTTACAGTGTCCTTGTTACTTGTAGTAAATTATGCATAATTACATGCAACTAACCCTCAACCAAAACCTAATCTAGCTCTTTAGTGCATGTTGTAAATTATTATTACTCAGTACATATAATTACACTGTAACAGTGACACCTTAAAATAAAGTGTAACCAAAACTGAAATATCTCAGGGAAACATAAACAGACAGGAACTCAAACACTGAAAATGAAGGCACCATATTTATTTATAATTTCTCACATTGCATTGATATACAGTCCAGTGATGATATCTGTTCACTATCTTAAATTGATGTACATACTTTTCATCTGACTTGCTAAATTATTATCGTATACGCACTCTTTTAATACTAATAACATTTATTTCTTATATCTTGATATATTTCCTAGATTTCAGTAATTACCAGTGTAAAAACTATGCACATATTTGCATAAAATTAAATATGGTTGATCTGTTTTATTTACAGACTGTTTATCTCTTTAATGAAATTAAATTGCCAATTATTTCCTAACCATACTTTTATATAAACAACATATGTAAAATATGTACAGCTTTAGTCTACATCCACAAAGTTTGTATTCAACATCCACATTTTACTTAACTGCATAATGTCCCATTGATCATATTCGTTTTCAGACATTCGTCTGTACATTGCACTGTCAGCATTTTATAAACGTGTTAGATCTTTAAGATTGAAGACAGTGAAAAATGTTAGTCAGTATACAGTTTCTTCTCAGTCTCCTTAGCAATGAAGTTCATAGGCCTAGAGCTTCCTCCACATTGGTGATCGAGCACTTTAAAACCCAGGTTTCATCATCAAGATCTTTCAGGGAAACATTACAAATCAAGCAAATGTCCATACCGTTGTAGAGGACTTGTTCATTCAACATCTGCATGGAAATCTCACAGGAAAAACCTTGTTTGTTCGGCTGGTTGTTCCACAGGAACTGTTTTGGATGAGTAGCAATAATATACAGTATATTATTCAGTAACAAGTACAAGTATATGCTCTCCTTGTCTAATACCTTCAAAGCAAATTTATTTTCTTTCATTCTTCAACGGTCTCATCTCAAACATAAAACCCTAACAAATTAGAATCAGTCGTTCTTTATAAGATCTGTTTGATCATATCGGCTGATGGTCCCATCGGCTTTTTGTTCTCTTGATTTGGGCGGTACCAAAAACACAGATTGCATTCAAGAACAAGGCAGATCCTCTTGATGTTTCAAACGTTTTGATTAGTTCTAATAAAAAAGAAATATTGAATGGGACAGTCAATATCCAAACAGTCAGTAACCTTGTTGATTTCTCTGGAAAGATGATGGGAACGACAGAAGATGCGCTGATGGTTGTATTATCTTTCCTACCATTTTGTAATTTCATTTGGGTTGGAAGAGCTCATTGAACTCGTTGAGTATGAGCTCCACTATCTGGTTCTGAAAGACCATGTGCATGGTGATGTTGGACTCCTCCTGCGGTCTCAGCAACGTTGGGCCGAACACGATGGCCATACTTTGGACAGACATGCGGTTCTGTTCACCATGGTCAATTACTCTGAAAGATGGGTAAATGGATTAGTAAAGATGCTCATCATACTACATTAAAACGGAGCAAAAAAAGAGGTCCATACTTTCGGAGATGTTTGAAGAGAACCTCCATGGTGTCGTGGTTGGGTAAAGGCAAGTTTCTCACCAGATCTCGTATGTACGACACTTTCTGGCTGTAGTCACTCATTTCTAGAAAGAACAATTCTTGATTTTTATCCCGGTGAATTGTATTTACAGATATAATAATCAAATAAGTCAAAAATAATCATGAAACACACTTTTCAGAGTTCATGATGCAACGCAGCATTTAGTAAAGAATCATACCAAATCAAATCGCTGTCAAAGCATACTGTACAGCCGTGTCAACAAAATATTATTTGTAATATCTAACAAACTCTGTATAAGGTACACCCATTCATTTGTTCTCTAAAACAGGACAGTTATACACACGAATGGCTGCGATGAACCTATCGAAAAAGCTGAAGGGGAATAGAGGCTCAGGAAGTTCACGTAGGAAAAGCTTCAAAGCTCCTGTGATCACATGGATCTCTTCCCACTGCCCGTCCTCCAGATCCAGATCATCTTCTACAGAGAGAAAGGAAAATACACTTTTGTATCATCAATAAAAAAAAAATTCTGAGAAAATAAGAAATTTGAAGGAGATCTCACATTAAGTTATTATGATTTTACAGCATTAACATTTTATATTTATAATACATTTATAGTCATTATATTTATAGCCTTCATATATTGTTAACATTTTTTTTTTTAGCAGAATAGTTCAAGTAAAATGACAAAACAATTAAAAATAAAATGTAAAAAAGCTATGTAAGCTCTTTCAATTTGACATTTGATGAAATTAAAAAAAATGTCCTGGTGAGAACGTTTGGTAACACTTTATTTGAAGAGGTGTGCCTTAAGGCCAATTTATACTTCTGCGTAGGGTGCGCGCAGTAGGTACGGCGTAGCATACGCACAGACGCGTCCCATACCGCGTACCCTTCGCCGTCGCCTGACGCGCACCTCCTCAAAAATGTAACTACACGTCGCGACGACGCGGACCGCAAGATCGGTGATTGGTCGGCTTGGTAGCATCGCATTTCCTCCTACGCATTTCCGCACGCACCTTCTCACGCATTTCCACCACTGTCTATGATTTCCACAAGTTTCATCTCCTCCGAAGTCTTCTCTCATTTCTGCCTTTCAGTTTTAGTAATTTCACTAAAGTGAACTGTTTTTCCACCTAATAAGCTCCAATTCCAACATGATCAGCTCTCGTTCACTCGTAGTAACCTAGCCGCGAGGAATCTAAACAGTGGAACATTAAAACTCTCCGCCGCCAACTAGCGTTTCGGAGCAGTACTGCAGAGCAACCAAGACCTGAACGCAGAAGTATAAATGCTCACAACGGCGTCGCCTACGTGCGTAGCCAACGCCGTACACTACGGCGTACCCTCGACGCAGAAGTATAAATTGGCCTTAAGACTGACATGACACCTTCATAACCATGACATGACATCTGTCTTGAATATGAAGTATGCATGTTTATGACAACTGTCATTAAGTGTCTTTCGCTCAATAATGACATTTTGAATGCAAATATGACATTGTTTAAGATGTCTTCGTAATGACATCTTGACATAAACCATAACATCATAACCTGTCAATGTCTTTGTCATTGTCAACTAATTTTATAAAATTAAGTTAAACTGTCATGTGGTTGGTTGGCTTTGACATTGGCTGTCATGAGGCATTATAACTGTGTGATGAATATTTTTTGAGCTCAACTACAGTGGTACACATTGAATTTGTCATTAAAAAGTTATAATGGCTTCATGACATCCAATGTCAAAACCAACCACCGATAGTTTAATATAATGTTAACTAGTAAAGCTTGGAAGCTTCTTAAGTTTGATCATTAATCAGTCATGTTTATGACAGGTTGTGTTGTCTTAGTAATGTCAAGTTGTCATGACAAAGACACTGACAGGTTATGATTTATTGGTTTATGTCAATGTGTCAGAACAAAGACATCTCAAACGATGTCATATATGCATTCAAAATGTCATAACTGAGCGAATGACACTTGTCACAAACATGCATAAAACTTCCTTCATATTCATAACATGTCATGATTATGAAGGTGTCATGTTAGTCTTATGCACACCCCTTCAAGTGTTAGCGAATGTTTGAAACATGTGAACATTTTTAATACAATTCACAATAAAATCTTTTAATATAGCTGTAGCAGTTAAGGTGTTTTATTTATTTCCAGAGTATAAATTTATTGTGATATAGAGAACAACTCAATCTTGAATGGTGGATGTGTACAGTGAAAATTGCGGTGATCTTTTTTTATGATGCGTCTAGTTTTGGTTTACCGTGATCAGCTTTAAATCGCAGCTTCTGGATGACAGCCAGGTTCCCGCTCACTCTGTAGATTCCATCTATATTTAGACCTGCACCAGGCAAACAAACAACGACACTTTAGATTACTTTTCTTAAGGTCCGTTCACACCAAAAACGATAATTCTATTACTTCTGTTTGTTTATTAGAACCATGCTGCAGTTTTGTTGTCTACCGCTTTAAATGTCAAGGAAGAATTTTGATTGATCAATGCTTTTCTCGTTTATAATGGATGGAAATAAATAGTGTTTCTCTGTGCTGTTATCTTTATAGTAGAGGTGTGGACCATCACTTAAAAGATTTCTTTATCGTTTTATATTTAAGGTCCTTGGTGTGAACAGGCCTTAACTCAAACTTGTTATCAAATGGCAAAATGATTACTTACCCCTTTTCTCAATAGATCTGATACATTTTTCCATAAACTTGGGCACGGTTGTGTTTTCCCGATGACTGAGTGTATCTAGGTGGCAGCCAAACACATTCTCTATAAACAAAGGAACAAGTGGAAGGTTAAAATCATTTACTATAGTGAATACAAGATAAGAACCAGTCAATTTCTCATCGATATCTGCTTAAATTCTTTGAATGGACAGCGTCACTGATTAAATTCATGTTGAAAGGCAAAAGTTGATACTAACCTTTGATGTAGCCCTTCTCTTTGACTGACTGTAAGGTGGGACGCCTCTGGAGGAACTTGCGTAGCTTGGTACGGACACGGCCCTGTTCTGTGTCTATGCTATTTGTTGAACTCAGTCGTGTTGCTAAAAGAAAAATGTGTAAAAACTCAAAGATGCTGAATTAAGTCATGTATGTGATGTGCATCTGATTCAGTTTCTCACATTCGGTCTTCTTCTCCTTGTCTGGAAGCAATGGAGATTTTTCTGGGATCTCTTCCACTTCATCCTCTGAGTGATGGCCATGGTCATGCTGTGAAAGATCACAACATATATATGTTTGACATTGGGTGGAGGACTTCAGATTTAGTGTTATACTGTATGTGGCCAGCATGGGGCAGCACTCACCAGCAGTCTGATAGTGTCCAAAATGATCTTGTGCCAGTCGTGTATGATGCTGTCTGTGTCATACTGTATCAGATACTCAGAGCCATGACGTGTCTTGAGCTGCTCAGAGACATGGACATTATTACGGGCTTTAATATTAAAAATATGGACTGTATATGCCTACAAGAAAATCTCTAAAGGGCAAAAGTCAACCATTATTGCCAGCAATCAATATCAAAGCTATAAATTAACATATTTGTCAAAAGATAACATACTTCTGGGCTTTAACACACCTTAAACTGCAACACATGTTCATTATAGTGCAAGAGTTATAACAGCATTTGTGTTTTATTGCCAAAACAAAGGTCACAGTCACACTGGCCTATGACTAAACTCATGACAATGGAACAGATTTGAATTCAGAGAAACTTAATTCTAGGAAAAGCAATGTAATACATTTCTCAGGATGCAAGTCCTTTGTTTATATGTTTTTTCACTGTACTGAGTCACAGTGATTACCTCTAAAACATTCTTCTTGCTTGACTTTTCTTTAGATGCCCATGATAAAGTTGCTCCTTTCAGTTCCACAGTGTACTCTGGGACAATCTGATTGGACTTGGTCTGCAGGAGACAACCCAATGGTAGTCAGTTTATATTGAAAGCTTTCTTCAGTAAACTTAATCAAAGATTACATTTAAATGTATTATTAAATTATTTTGGCAGTTCACCCAAAAATGAAAATTATGTCATCATTTTCTCAACCTCAAATTGTTCCAAACCTGTATGAATTTCTTTATTCTGTTGAACACAAAAACATATTTTGAAGAATGTTGGTAACCAGACAATTGACGATGCCCATTGACTTCCATAGCATTGCTTTTCCTACTACGGAAGTAAATGGCAACCAACAACTGCCTCTTTACTAACATTCTCAAAAATATCTCCAAAAGAAACTCATACAGATTTGGTAAAACATGAGGGTAAATAAATGATGACAACATATTCATTTTTGGGTGAACTATCCCTTTAAATAATCATCTATTTAAAGACGTTTTAAAGATGATGGCAAAGGTAATCTAAATGTAAAAATATAGGATAAAAATGAGCATGTAGAATTAAATATAATCCTAAATAACCTCAAATATAAATATAAACTTACAGACATCCCAGCAGGTGTAAATTTAGGGTCTTTGTGGAAAGTGAGTATGCCATCATGGAGAACGGTCCACGACTGCGCCCAGTTCTTCCTGCACAGACAGCAGCAGGAACATTTCAGAGGAGAGAGATTTGTTGAAAAAAAAAAATTAAATAAAAAATAACTGGGCCCTGGAGATCTACCTACCAGCAGAGTCACATTTCAATGCTTTTGATTGGTTCATCTCTTATGATTGTGCCAATGTAGTTTACAAATAGTGATAAAAATATCATATTTTGGTTTAATTTTTACAGCTGTTTATGGCATCACCATAATCCCTTTTTTACTTTACTGTTGTAGGCTTCCGAAAGGCTTAATAGGTCGCCTATCTAATGAATTACTTTCAGTTAAACTACTCAAGAGCAAAATAAAAAATATATATGTGTGTGTGTATGTGTGTGTATATACTATATTTGACCAGTATTTAAGTTTTATTACATATTTGTTCCTGAAATCCACCTTTCTGCTGGGATCAGTATACTCCAGTTTTATTGGATCAAAGGTATCCAATCTTACTAAAAAGGTTTTATGGTTTGATCCAGATGAAAATCAGGACTGGATTTAATCTGATTTCAGAATCCTTTTTTTTTCTTCTTTTGAACAACCCATTTTCAAGATTTGATCTAATCCGATTACTTTCAAACAACTGGGCCCTGAAGATCTTAATGAGCTGGTTCAGGTGTGTTTGATCAGGAGCTGAATTTTGCAGGACGGTAGATCTCCAGGAACAGGATTTCTTACCCCTGCCCAAAGGTAAAACATGAAACTAAGGGTAGCCTATGTTTACACGACAACAATGTACTAAAAACGGTTCTTCCTTAGTGTTTTCCACGAAAACTACTAAAAACGCTGTATTATTCATGCCTGGCCAGCAGTTGGCGATGTCACTTTGTAAAGAAACACAAAGTGCCTATAGACTGAAAGCGTAACAGAGTGCTGAATTTATGATGTCACTTTGTAGGCCAAAACGCAGAAGTGAATTAGCATTTTAGCACTTCCGGTTCCCTCGCCTTAAAGTCTATGGGTTTTTTGAATGGGTTTTGCTAAATGGCCTGAAATAAGGTCTGTGGTGAACAAAGCCTCTAAATATTTTCACGTTTTGATTTGTGACATAGAACACACAGTTATAACCTGCTTGTGTTTTTTTTTTTTTACTTTATTGTGTCTGCTTGTGTTTTTTAAAACTTTATATAGGCATCAAGATGTATACATTTTGGATTAACTTGTAAAAATGATCTTGATCGACAAAACGTGTAAGTGTCACAACTCGTGAACACAGACCTTATTTTTTGCGATTTTCCAAAAGTCTATGGGGAAAATGCATAGCTTTTCGAACCCATGTGCCGCTAACTTCTGAGTTGTCCTACAAAGTGACGTCATAACTTCGGCACTCTAGTCTATACACATGCACACGACTTCACCATTTTCACATTTTTGTAGTTTACATAACAGTGACGTTACAAAAACTCACAATTGGAAAACAGTTTTCAAAAGTTTGCATTTTCAGTCCCCCAAAACCCAGTTGTCCATTTCCATTTTTTAGTAGACAACGGTGATGTGTAAACGGCCCCTAAACAGATTTACATGATTTTTCCCCATCAATACTTAGGTGAAGTATGACTATACTGTTTAACCACAGACAAAAACAGTTAATTCAACACCCCACCTCAGTCTCTTTCCATTCTCAGCGACTTTGGTCTTGTTGAGAATCCCAGCCTTCTCCAACAATGACTGCTGAACGCAAAAGACAAGCAAGTTTGTCAGATTAAAAATTAATAAATCAAACCAAGGACAAACAAAAAGCTCTTTTTGAACATTAAAAATAAACCATTTGTACATTATATAAATGACAAGTGAAAAACAAGAACTAAATTAGCTTAGAGATTTGTTGATAAATTTAGTTTGATGTTGTAAAAAAAAGTGTGTGTTAGTTCAGGTCTGTCCGTAGAATGTTTAATGAGTAATGGTAGAATAGCATGCCACAAAACAACATTATCTACAGCTACTGATGAATGACAACGATTTAAAAGCCAAGCAAGACTATCAGAGAACAAGCAGTGATGTTAGTTTTAGTCTAATGCATGACATGTTAGTTTAGGACACCAGTGCAGATAACTGCAAAGGCCAAATAAACAAGCTCAGGACGCACATGATGAGAATGTGAATCTGTGCTTTGACTGGACAGGTTTCTCCGCCGTCTTAACTTTTTATCCTTGAGAAAGGAAACAAAATTATGGGTTCTCACAATTTGTTTATAAACAATGAATCTATATTTAAATCGGAACGCTGATAACTAAATCTGCACATCAGAAAATCGTTTACTTGAGACTTAAAAACACCTTTTTATTAACACGGCCTTAAACATCAGGTCAAAATCGGTTCACGATCTTGTATGCAAATGGATTCAGTTAGAGGAACATAACATGAATTAGAGCAAAATGATGATAAAATAAGAATGAGACTGTTACACATGAATGAGTTTAGGGGAACTAAAGTTCCATGAGTTAAAAGCTCCAATGAGAGTTGGAAATAACAGAGGTCACGTTACATACGTAATGCTGTGATTCTGGTGAATTCCCTGTGCTGGATGCATCACTGGCGTTGTCAGAGGCGATCCGCCTGTGTGAGGGGGAAAATTTCTGATGGAGGAAATGAAGAGAAAGAAAAATAAATGAATATTAGGTGGTGGAAAAGTGGTGCGGATCGGATACCAGATGTTTCCTTCCTGTTGTGGTCCCTGCAGAAAATAGCTGAGAATGAAATGTCTCACATGAGAAAAAAACAGACATTGCTTTGAGGGCATCCCTCACACAATTTGATGACACATTTTGGCTTATGCGTAGCTGTATCTGACTGAAATCTCTAATAAGTCAGATAAAGGTTAACGATTTAAAAAGAAAAGGATAAAAAGAGTCAAAAGATTTGTGTATATCTTGAAAAGATTCAGGTAGACAGTGTCCTGAGCTGACACTCACCAGGTCTTCCTGAGACATGTTGAACTGGAACATTGATAATCGCCAGTTGTTCAAAACAGGTTGAGCATCTTGGTCTACTCCGTTTCCATTCATTGGCTGACCGGGCGGGACTGAAGCCTTAACAAAGAGTCAACAAAGGTCTTATGAGTATAAACAGAGGTCAGGGTGAGACATGCATTTGTAAAGAAAATGAAGTGTTTTCGATTTAACAAAGACAAAAAAAAATAAAAAATAAAAAATAAATACAGAATGACAAATGAAACAAAATCATACACAGACCTCTGGAAGGGTCCACTGACGTTTAGATCCCCCTTTTAAGTAGTAAAACAACTTCCCTTTGTCATCCTTAGACTGGATCCACTGCAATTGGGAGCCAAAAATATTAGTCAGAAATTTTTTTAAGTGTTTTTTTTAAGCTATTTATTTTTTAAAGAAGACTTGACATAAATAAAATAAAATGATTTGAGCTTAAATGATGTGGTGATATACAGTAGGTCAGCTACAGAAAACTCTTTCAATACATTCCAGTTATTTTCCCCATGAAAATTTCAAAAAATTCAGTTTGGAGCTGGTTTGATACATTTGCAATATGTTCTCAGTATGTTGCCATGTGCAGTTGCAGTATTATAAAGGCACCAAAAGGAGGCACTAATACACACAAAAGATCAGTCATAATTCGGCTATGTTTTTTTTTTTACAGTGACAAGCATTAAAACGACAAAGAAATATATATAAATTAAATATAGTTTTTTCACAGTCTGTTTAGTAGTGTCTGCTCATTGTAGTAATACAATAATTCCGATAAGCCCTCATCACCTGTTCACGAGTGAGTTCATTTGTGTAGACAGTTTTTCCATCGGCTCCTACAGAGTGAGTCCAGCCCGGATGGACATCTTTACGTGTGTCCACAACAGCCCTAGGAATGACGGCATGCTTGATTTGGTGCAAATGAAAATCTTTAGGGAGTTGAAGTGACATAAGGGAATCTTCACGCTGATTCGCTGGGTAGTCCTCATCTGGAAGAGGTGGCTGAGAATGCAAAAAAATAATAAAAGATGAATAGACAGACAGATAGATAGATCTTTAATAATACCTTAATTGTAATTTAATACTAATTTAATTGAATAATACTTTAAATTGTCATTTATTCCTGGAGCAAAGCTAAATTTAGCATCATTACTCCAGTCTTCAGTCACATGATCCTTCAGAAATCATTCTAATATGCTGATTTGAAACATTTATGTATTCCCAAGAAACATTTATTGTCATCAGTGTTGGAAACAGTTGTGCTGCTTAAAGGAGTAGTTCACTTTTAAAAAAAACTTTTGCTGATAATTTACTCACCCCCATGTCATCCAAGATGTTCATGTTCAAAAGAAATTCAACGGTTCAAGGTCCAAAAGACAGTTTCAGTTTAAGTTTTATAAGCTCAAATTGTCACCTTGCTCTGTTCTGTGATGCACGTTCGTGACTCTCCTGTTCGATCTTGATCATCAAAATGAACAAATCTTTTTTCGTGTCATTTGGTTCATTCAACGAACAAAATTATATTATATATACATTATATAACGAATGCATTATATGAGTATATGAGTAAATTATCAGCAAATGTTTTTTTTTTTTAAAGTGAACTACTCCTTTAACATATTTTTGTAAACCGGATACATTTGATCAGGATTCTTTGATGAATATAAAGTTCAAAAGCAGCATCTATTCAAATTAGAAATATTTTGTAACATTATAAATGTCTTAGGCCGTGTGTCCACCAAAGCGTTTTTCCACGCCCCTGGCATATGTTTTCAATTGTTTTCAATGTGAGCGCCGCATTTTTTAAACGCCATGAGCGTAACGAGGCGCTGAGCGTTTTTTTCGCGCTGAAGCGCCGAGCGCCCAGCGTTTTTACTGGTCGCTGGGAGTTGAAAAATGTTCAACTTTGGTTAAAACGCAGCGCTCATCACTGTCACATTTTACCCAGCCGTCCAATCACAGTGGAGGAGGGGCGGGACTAAACCACACCGACCAACTGTCACAACATTCAAACTGCTGCATATATTCTGTATCATAGCAACGAAACGGCTCAACAAAAACGCTCTCAAGCGCCCAAAGCACGGCGTCTTCAGCAGAGCGTCTAGCGTTTTCAGCTGGCTAAAAACGCTTTGGTGGACACACGGCCTTAACAGCTGGGTTTAAATTCGTTTTAATTTAATACATCCTTGCTGAATACAACAAAAAACAACAACAACAACAACAACTGTCAAACGGTATTGTAGATAGAGAGATATAAAGACAGGCAGAATCTTACCGGTTCATCCGCCTCATTGCCATGACTGTGTACCATGTCCGTGGATGACGGAGGTTGCGATGGCTCCGGGGCAGACCAAGAGGTTTGTTTCGAAGCGTGATTATAATAATAATGTGTCCCAGTGGTCTCATCCAAAAACTTCTCCCAGTCAGAGCCCAGCGAGTGAGCTGAGGATGAGGAGGACACAGACTCCATACCAGCTCCTGGGTTAGGGCTATGGGGATTAGACCAACTGCTCTCTCCCGTGGAAGGGTGGTAGTAGTACTCCTTACCACTGTCGTGGTCAGTATGGACCTGCCATTCGGTCGAGCAGGCGGAGTCTGGCTGGGGACTGAGGGCGATGCCGGGTGAGGAGCAGCTGGAGACAGAGGAGTATGAAGAGCGAGGAACGGTCTTCTTCAGGTCAGTAACGTTTGCATACACTGCAGTGGTGGGGTCATTCTCAGTCTGGGGAGAGAGAACATGTTTTAGGCATGGCTGCTTTTACAAGATTAAAAATATATATAGGTCATCGTCTACTGACCTTCATGGTTCCATTACATATTTAAATTAATTGAAGTTAGTGAATTATAAGGAGATGCCAAAAGCATCTTACATGTACATTGTGTGCCTGGGCAAAACATCCCCGCACACTATCACAGATATTACTCAGATCCCTCATTCAGTCTAAGCCTATATGATATAAGAATATGATATAAAAATTCGGTCAGAAAAATGTTCCATGGACTACTTTGGAAGGTCCAAAATAATGAGTTTAACATAGTTTTAACATAGTTTCTAAAGCAGCAAAGATTGAATGCATTACCCTTAACATTTCATTGGAGTTTTCTAATTTTGTGGTGTACATAATCATTGGAAACCATGTAAAAAGTTAACTGGTAAACTTTTATACAATTGAAACCACATCCCATGGAACACAACACTAACATGCCATAATGTCAAAATGAGTAAAAATTGACGTTGGTGAGTATACCTTCAACTGTCACAATGAAACATTCTGAATCACCAGTTGGTTGGTAACATATTTATGCTTTCTAACTATGCAGTCTTGTGAGAATAAGAACGACACTTGGGACAGGTCAGTGCTGCATCGTCACGGAAGTTTAAGCCTAGTCAATTTAAGTGCAAGAAGACGGAAAAGGGAGCTCAATTCATTACTGTGCACACACACATTTGAAGCATGCCAAGAAAGCCACGTCTTGACAGCAGGCAAATAATGAATTGAGCTCTCTTTCACGTCGTCTTGCGCTTCAACAGAAAAATTCACACAAAAAAATTGCAAGTATCCTAGTAAACATAGTCAGTTATGTCTTAAGTGAGCGTGTAAACAGTTGAGAAAGACAATGCATGTGTAACAGTATATTAGATTCTTGCATTAGGCTGCCTAACGCCCAAGTTGTAGGCTATTTACTGGGAAGTTCGGGAATAATTTTCATACCGGAGTTCACGAGTTGACCGATTGCTGCTGTGACAGCGGTATTCTTTGTTAGTGGGGTTTTTTTTTCACAACATACAATCGCCTTGCAATGAAATTAAAGTAATGCATACATATATGAATAATCATTTGAACCATATTGTACAGCGAAAATAGTCTGCATTTAGCCAAAATTCCAGAATCGTCAGCAAGCTGTCTAGATAGCATGGTGAATGTTTATATGATTGTCAATGAATGGGATGCCAAATATCATTTTGGCTTTAATAAGGTTTCCCAAAAAATAGGCAAGCGTAAACCTGGTCTCCATCATGCATGATTCCCGTTCTTTCCAACAACAAAGCAATGCGACGAGCTCATAATCCCGACTTCAGAAGCGGTAAGTAGGAAATTTCTAATAGCACATGAAGGCAGCATTAATCTTCCTGTCTGTTTTAAAGGTTAATCAAACAGCAAAAGAGAGAGAAAACAATGACTCACTGCTCCTGACTGAATAACTGTTGCACCTTCAATAAGTATTGAACAATGTTTATTTATACAGCGAATACTACCCCAGTGTCATTTTACATTTGATTACTTAATTCAATGTCTACCTGTAAACTACTGTTACTTTTCTTTAATAATGTTTTCATTAGACTAGTAGTTTTAGCTGTGGTATTGAAATTGGAATAGAGAATTGTGATTTTTGCATTGGTATCTAAACTGGTTTCACTGATCATAACTTCCTTTTTTTTTTTTTCAAAATCGGTTTCATGGCCAGTAGAAATTATTTTCCTAAGTCACCGGCCATTGGCAGGTGTGGCAAAAAGTTATAGTTTTAGGCCCTGAGTATATCTGTCTCTATCCCATGCAATAACTTCCATTATTCGTCTCAATAGATCTATCAATAGAAACCTAATGAAAACAAAGAGCTATGGGGAGAAAATCCTGCTGGAACCGCTCCCTCGATTCAGGAAAGACACAAAGATGGTTATGTGGAATCAAATATCTCGCCAGCTTTCATCTTTAGGCCTTCACTTTTTCTCCTGTTATGGAGATCTTCATTCAAACAGAACACGTCTCTGCACTTAAATGGAAAGTTTGACCAAAAAATTAAACATTATTCCGTTATAAAAGAAGATAGACTTGTATGGACAATTTAAAGTATGTATACTTGAGTCGTAATCATGATTTGTATGGGGGGGGGGAAGCAGCCTACACATTCTGCTATAGCCAACTCCTAAAACTCTAACTTCAGAAAATGGCATCATATGCATTTGAAACATCATGAGGGGTGAGGATATGACATCATCAGACTTTTGACCCGCACACCTGTTAAACCTCACTTGAATCCACAATGTGAGGTCAGAAAAACATTCTTCTTAATAAAGCCTGTGTTTGTTTAGTCCAAGTGAAAGTTTCTCTGGAAACTACCGGTATGTCCTTTCAAAATTTGGATGCATCCAGATAATGTGTTTTCCAAAGTTTAGCACACTCTCTGGGGAAGGGAAGCCAAGATCAAAACAGAACAACGGGCAGAGGTTTCCGCTGCACGATGGACATTTGAGAAGAGCTTGAAACATGCATAATGGTGGAGTGTGGACAACGGACGGTATAAATTAATCAATTCTGACTCTGTGTGACACCTAAAAGAAATGTTTTTGTCTAGACATTTTTCTAGAAGTGAAACACACACACAAACACACACACACACATTCAGTGCATGTCATGCAGTGTGACTAAGTACAATAATTCATATATCAATCGCTTAATTAACATAGCCATTACATTGCATATTAAATTATATAAGAATTAGAAAAAAATGATTGTTTAAAATACTTGAACTGCTGTCCACAGCTCTCACTGCTTAAAATTTCATATGAACTGCTAAAATAAAGCTGTAAAAAAAACAAAATGCAAGTACAAGCTTTGAAAACCCATTATTTCTCATTATATTCTCATAGTATTAAAATAAACAGTAAAAATCAATCTGCAAAAATCTTATCAAGTGCAAGTAATGGATTTGCATTACAATTCAAATTCTGGTGTTCCACACATGCAGGCTATATATTGTCATCCAAAATCTTTTTTTATGATTTGAAAACAGGAATGACCCAATAACAATTACAGTTTGAATTTATGTATGGGTTCAGTCCAAGGCATCAAAACAAAAGTAAATCATTTGAACATGTGTCACCTCTTCTCTAGCAGTATAACAAACTTTGAGTAGAATATCTTTATCGGCTAAACAACAGCTTCTTTTAAGCAAACAATAGTAGTCTCACAAGCACTGTAATCAGTGTGTTCACCATATCCTGCATATCTGACACAGCAATCCCACAAAACCCAGTTTCAGCTTCACAATGCTACCTTGTGTTTACCGCTTACCTTACGAAACCTCAGAAAGGTCTGCAGTCTGGGCATAAGCGTACGGCAAGCCTTACGGATCACCTCTTTCACTTCCATCCGAATGTTATCAAAATAAAATTCCTCTCAGAAAAAAAAAAGGACCAGAAAGCATATCAAAACTCAATAAACGGAGCAATTCCAGTCGGGTCCCGCCACCATTGGTGCCCTAATTACTGTGTTCAGACCACATTTGGAAAAAAAAAAAAAACACAAAAATCTGAAAACGCTTTTCCGACGAACTACAGCTCACCTCATTACATTAACAGCAGGTATACAGCGAGTAGAGATTCACAGAAATTGTGAATTAACATCAGGCTTTAGGGGAAGGGCACATCAGATTATTTAACAGGAAAGCTAAAGGGGATCTCCTGAGGGTTCAACACGCATGTTTGAGAGTGCATACAAACACAGAAAGCTCAAATGGGAACACAAACTAACTGCTGTGGGTGGGGGGACTATCATTTCCTCTTAAGGTGGAGTAATGCTAATTAAAACAAACATAATCATATAGGCTCAGTAAACATCCTGTGATCTGTCAAAAGGATACATGGACAACAATCAACGGTTTGAAGTAAGACCAAAGCTAGTACAAATGCAGATATTTGCAATTTTACGTTTCAAGTACACTTTAGTGTAGCCTATGCAAAGCCCCATCATTCCAATAGTGGAAGTAGTGCTTGCAAACTGAAATCACAAACTTAGTCTCTCCCATTACTTCCTCTTTCCTGTTGAACAAGCTATGTGCAAAAAGACTGGGTTAGATAGACTTCTGGTGTAATCAAATCAAGTGGTAAGAGATTACAGGCTGTGTTTTGTCATTCAAATAAAACCTCAACAGCCTGATTTCACTTTAAAAAGATGGGTCTGTATCTCGAGCATCTATATCAGAATTGCAATCAGAATCATCAAGTTAACAAACAGGGAGACCAGGCCAGATTTATCTCAACTCACAAACTATTACTGTTCATATTTTAGGAACGTATTTGGCTTGAGGAATGGTGGTATTATTTATCTATGCAAACAATTGTGGGGTAAAAATTGTCCAAAATATAATAAAATGTCCAAAAATATCATATAGGCTTAGATTGAATGAAGGATCTGAGCAATATCTGGGATAGTGTGGTGGGATGTTTTGCACAGGCAAATAATGTACATGTAAAAAAATAATTGCACTGGTAGTCTACTAGTATAGCATTGGTGTCAAGGAAACTGAATTTGAGTTTGTTTGCTTGTTTTTGTACCGTCTGGTTTTAACTTCACAATGACACACACAGCCCAATAAAGTGCTGAAGGGTTCAAATGGGACAAGTGTCCACATAAATTGCATTACCATTGTGTTGTTTACATTTATGTTTTTGAGGTGGAAAAAAATTGAATCCGTAATAACGAACACTTTTGATTTTTAAATAATCAAAATCCCCCAAGTTACAGGTAAACATATTTAATTTATATAACCCATGAACTATTAACATGCAGGAAACAGCTGAAAATCAATGTTCACTGGGAAGTTTGGTTAATCATTATGTTGCCTTAAGTGTCAAAATAGTTTTGACGTGACATTCCAGTGTAATTTGACCCCATTCTTGATCATTCAGTAATCACACAGTTCTTCCTTTTGCAACAAACAATAAACAGAAACCAGGAATCAAACCAAGTCATAATCGTTTAAACTGCTGATCACTTTTAGGTCTAACTAAAAACAAACCTAAATGAATATAATTTAACTGAATAAAAGTAATGGAATTCATGCCAAACTAGATGACTATTAGTCACATAATAAATCATCTGAACACTGATTCCAGATAAATTTGAGAGCGGTAACTCCCTCTCAAAGTTTAAATGCAGGTAATAATTATCTAAAGTTTTGAGGACACAACTTCAAACTTCACTACATTTTGCATACGTCTGAGATTTTCTGTGTGCATGTCTGCACACTAACTGGAGTCTACAAAGCTGTCAAGCTCTTTTGCAATGATTTTAGATTAATACAACAGCTTTCTTTTAAATATCAATATTATGTACAGGTTTAAACCAATAGTTTAACCTGGAAATAGTTTTAGTATTTACATTAATCAATAATGAATAGTGATATAATTGATTTTCCAGTCTGATGGAGGGAAAAAAACATACTGCAATACACTGACACAGCATGGTAATCAAAGCAATAATATGTCCGCGTTCATTGTAAAACAAGGCGTGGACCGAAAGTATTTTTATCCGTACATTTCTAATTGAAAAAGAAAAGGTATTAAGGTATAGGCTGCATAGAACAATGTGTATTGTGAAAAACACAACACAAACAAAAACTGACGAGGCTACAATGCAAGCAAGGCAGTGCAGCGCAGCGCGTGCTCTGTAACCATTCGCGCTCACTTGTTATGACTTAGAATCAACGAAGGCGCCTAAAACCCGCGCGAATCAGCTAGTTTCTACCTTATAGTGTTAGTTATAATAATACCTGTATTTAATTTCCGCCAGACCTCTGCGATGAACCTCACCTGTCTGTTTCTCCGACTCCCAGTTCTCCGACTCAGAGCAGAGTGAAGTTCGCCTCCCTGGAGCCAGCGGCGCCAGGTAAACTACCACACAACGAGTTTAAGGGAGCGTCGAGTCGACACACCTTCGTTTTTTAACTCTTTCTCTGCCACTCTTACAGCGTTTTATGGTTTACAAGGGCAGATACGAATAATAGCCTTCTTGTGGTGTAAACGAAATTGTATCCTGTAGCCTATATGTTCATTCCTACATTTAGCTCTATGGAGTAGGATTGCCTACCGACATTCTGTCACGCTGAGGGTCAGAGGAGAGGACACGGTTTGCTGGGTATTCACAGTGCCTGTGGTGTGGGTTAAGGTGGGAGCTGTTCTTAACTAGTTTGGGTTTTAAGCAGTAAAATGAGATTTGGAGGCCTTCAGGAAAACTCCTCCTTTGTTTTGTAAACGTGCTGCTGGCTGAGGGGCATTTTATCAGGAATGGACCAGCTGTCATCTCATGGTTGTTGCCACAGACAAACAGAATAGCGGAAGGCTACAATTGCCTAGCCTAACACATAGCTTGAAAAGTAAAAGTAAGCCAGTGATTACAAATGTATTTGTATTCCTCAATACCCGAATTGAGCTCATGGACATTCTTAAAATACGGTGACAACCATGTACCTTGACTTTGCAGTCATTAAAGAGATGTTATAAGTCTTAGACAAACTATACCCACCTTATTTTCTAGTAATATGCCATTTGTAATTGCTTTCAAGTTACTTACAAAACAGTTAATTATACTGTTTGATTATTGTAAAGTGCAAACTGGTATTTCTTACCATATTATTTTAATTTATAAACATGCTTTTTTGGAGCAAAAACAGTTCTACGGTTTACTTTGGTATTCTTCTCGCTATTTTCCTATATAGCAGCTAATAAATCGAAAGTCTTGCACACTCACAGAAAACATCTTCCTTCCACGTTGAAAAATAAAGTGGATAGAAGCGTGAAGTCATCTGAGGACCTTCAGAACCGAAGCTTTACACAGTACTGGTTTTGTGTGAAACATTTGTCATACACTGATGTACACAGACTAACAATGGCTTTGAAACCTGATACAGGTGCACTAAGAGCTCCACTCCCACTGTGCCTCTCCCCTTCTTTCCAAACACAATTCCAAGCTATTCCCAAACAAGAATGGAACTGACAAAGATGTGGGGGAAAAAGTGCACTTTGTGGGGCACTGTCCACTATAACTCAAATTCATTGGAATTACGTAAAATTCAGAGAAACTGAGAACATGAGAATAAACTTTCCCTGGAATTTTGCAAAAATGCTTTGTGGTGAAACTGAAATGAATATGAACAAATTATATTAAATATATATTCTTAGAAAGTTATTTCTTTAAAAAGTAACCCAAAAGCCTCTCTCTTTTTCGCATTCACTCTCCATCTCTCTCTCTCCTCCCTAGTTTCAATGTTTCAGTGGCTTTATGATAAAGTTATTTGAATTAGCCTACCAAAGTAACAGAGAATGAGACAACGAGAACAAAAACCTTTCTCTTTCAAACTTAGTCTTTATCTCTCTCTCTCTCCCTCCCTTCCTTTTTGGCCAAATTTCAGTGATCTTCAGGATCATTTACTGTTTTTGAAACGGAGAAGCTGAAAGCTTCTATGCTAACAATAGTGACCTTGCAGCTACAACACCAAGACTGTCTCAGATTTCTAAATCTGTGTTAACAGTGTCTCAGGAGATGAACAATTATACTTTTTTACTGTTCTGTCAAAATTGTATTCTTAAACAAATTACAGAATATTGTCTCATTATATTTCAGGTATGATTTTGACTGAAAATATTACATGCTAGATGTGAGATGCCTCACTACATAAAATAAAACCTAACCATGTTGTGACATACCCTGTAGCTCTTATTAACTGAACTCAAAACTCTAAAATGTGTTCACGCACATGAAAAAAAAAAAAGGATGGGTTCCCTTACAACCTATAAAGAGACACAAGTAAGTGCATTATAGTAAATGCAAACAGAAAAAGGAAATTAATTACAGTTTGTCTGTTTAGTTTGTCAGGACTATCACTGGATATTGTTATGCACACATGATGCATGATGGCATAAGTTTTTATTGGATGAGAGTGTCTATAAATTGTCTTTCAAATGCTAAAACTCAGAAGCTTTACCTCACTATATCCTTCCCTCGCTAAAGGCTGTAGTATCCTGTTCTGATGTCATGTAGGAAGGCCTTATTGTGAAGCGGCTCTCTTTTATTTTCCGTTGTTTTCCGTCCTTTATTTCATCTGGCTCCAAAACAGCTGAGTAACTACTTGGTTGGTAGGTCTGAGTACAGATGGTGACTTGATCGCATCAAGATCATGGCTGTCTCAATGTCCTGTATGATTTTGGGTAATGCTGAAACTGTACTGTACACTTAATGGTAGCGTCCTTGAGCTTGGAAAAGGTGCTATATAAATTAAACATATTATTATTAGTATTATCATCATCATTTATAATGAAACGCGATACTGGAAAAAAAAAAACATGTACTACACTTTGTGCAGCATGCCAACATCGCCTCCCAGTGGCCCACTTTGATAACATGCCCAAACATTTCACATTGATAGGCCTACACACTTTCTGTTCTACTGCTTTTCCTCATAAGGATTTATGCTCTGTTGCTTATTAATACTATGTTTGTCAAAAATACACAATTTAAAGGTCAAAAGTCATTAAGTAATCAAATACACACTTATTTTGTTCTACAATAGAAACGGATCATAAAATATATGTATCATGAAGATAACTTCATCAAACTTTTCTCTTAGAAAGATAAAAAACACAAACTTGAAATAACATTATAGTATGTGAAAGGCAATGCTTTCAATGTGCTGAAAAGATTGTTCACAAACGTCTATCTGTACAGAAATATTAATAAGCCAGTTTCATTTTACGGAACTGTCAAAAAAAAGTGAACTGCCACGAAAGGATTTGAAACTGCATTCATTTACTAGTCTAGTGCAATAAAGGCTGTTGCCTGCAAAGCATATGGTCTTCAAACTTAAATACCTTTTTTAACTCTATGTTAAATTTGATTTCATTTAAAATTACACTGATTGGAGTTATATGCATCTTTTGTTATCCTGCATCTTTAAATATGAATTGTTAATTTTACATTCGGTTTGCTCAATTTAAATTCTGGAAAGGAATACAAATCTAAAAGACACTATCAATTAAATTCTGAATGGGCCACAACACTTAAAAACTGTACCTTTATTGTTGGAGGTGAGCATGAAGAGTTGGTCTGAGGCTTTGCCAATCCATCAGGTGCTTTGTCAGTCAGTGCCAACAGGTCTAGATTCAGGTCCGAAATGGATTCATAAATATTCTCAGAGTCTGGTGATGGCAGTGGTTCTGAACTGGAACTTCCACTTTCAGGCTCTATTGGGGATTCCAGCTCTGGAGAGTTCCTGTGAGGCCTGGTCTCATTCAGGTTCTTGATGACAGGGAGCTCCACAGGTTTGGCAGGGCTAGGTCTATGGAGGGGGTCGGCTGGGCTGAAGCTGGGAACTCTAAACTTATCAGGCACTGTTTCAGCTGGAGCGGTGCGAGGGCCTAACAGCAGATTGGTAGCTTGACTCATCCTCTTCTTCTGCTGTGAAGAATCTGAGGCAGAAACCGTGTTCAGGGAGAGGAGAGAATCTGAAGGTCTGCCATGTTTGTAAGAAGGGGGATCATGCAAATCCAAAGGAACACCAAATGTCGACATGCGGTTGTCTGTCTTGTAATTCCCTTTGGTGCGAAGTCTAATTGTAACTTCATCTGGTTTGCGTATCTCTGTGAGGTCAGGCACCGCAGGCCTCACGTCAGGGGCTGGAGGCTCTCTTAAGTCCAGAGGTGAAGGGATGTTGGGTGGAAGCTCTTTAACATAATTAGCAGGGATGTAAAACGGCTTGGCTCGTTCATCTTTGCGCACATGCCACCAATGATCGTTTGTTTTGTCCAGGAGGATGTAGCGCTCGTTGGGTTTAATGGACACCATGTGGCCATCCCGGCCCTCATATTCATATTCAAACTCCACCAATACTAGGCCCACACTGTGTAAGGACGTCATCTTCTCACCCGTTTACCCTTTAAGGGAATCAAGCTGGAATCAAGGCTCAGGAAAGGCCCTCCTGTGGGCAGAAAACAAATGAAAGGATTATAAAAAGCAGTTTGAGCACAAGACACAGATTACTGTTTAATTGAGTCATAAGCAAAGAGCACCTGCTCTTTGAGTGCAAAACAACAGCACTTTGGCTGAACTTTCGACTGGTCCAGCTGTTCAGGAATTGCCCAACAAGCCTGAATGAGATCATACAACTCCTTACCCCATTTTTTAACTATAATAGGTAGACATAACAAGGTGCAGTCACTACAAATTCTGCAATGCATTCCTCAGAAAAGGCAAGGACAGTATTTCATTTAATCACACAGTACTACATTCCAAGAGCTCTTGATCATTTTAAGCTGACAGTGGAGATCTCTAATCTACAAGTTTTGTCAACAGCTGATGTTGAATTTAAGTCAGGCAACTGTGAGGTAGTGCTCTGATATGGACCAGTAACTGAGGTTAAATGCCATTGTTCTGATCAATGACCTGAAGCAATCAATCTAGCGTGGCCTCACAGCCACTCAAGATTAGAGCACCCCTTTTTGCAATGCTCTTGTAGTTTAAATAAACAGGATTGTAGAAAAGATTGATTGTAGAAAATTGCTTAATTTAAATGTACTAATCCAGCCCATTCTCACCCCCAAGGCGTCACCTAACTGACGCCTTGGGAAGCATTTGGACATGCTTCAATATCTGACGCTTTAGGCGCCCTTTAGCGTCAGTTAGATGACGCCCTAGGATCGCGTGTACCCTACCCCCACACCTAAACCTAACCGCGTCCTCTAACTGACGCTTTCCTTTAGCGTCAGTTAGATGACGCCGTAGGATCGCGTCATTTAAGTGACGCTAAAGGGCGCCTAAAACGTCAAATATTGAAGCATGGTCAAAGGTGACGCCTTGGGGTGAGAATGCGTTGACTAATCAGGGCTGTAAGCGTAAGTAGATTGTAGAACAGTTCATTTTGTTTACTTAGTCCTCAAAGTAAAGTACTGTTAAGAGATTCACCCTTGATGCAACAGTGGTTTAATGTTTGCTAAGCATCCTCTATCGCTTGTTAATCTTTTGTATGTGGTTTGACTACTGCCTGTAAAGGAAAGGAAATTGACTGTAATACGAAAGACAGATAACAGCAAAGTGTCAGTAGTCAAGGTGCTATTTGGATTCAGCTGCCAGCAAATTATGTAGAAATCCATCTGATACATTAAGGTACAGGCAAAGGAAATGATGTCATTGTCATTCTGAGGAACATTGGCTACCTTTAGATGCACAACTTTTGTTTCAATCGGATTGATGAATCCTAAACATGTGATTGGGTCGATGTGTGTGTTTATATATCACAAGCTTGAAATCGAAATAGAATATAAAGTTTCCTGCTGTTTGCGCATAACAATTCTCCTACATTGGTTCTTTATTTGTTTTAAACAGCAGACTTAATATTTATCCATTTCTGGCCATAATTTGGAGTAAAAAAGCATATGAACCATTGTGCCGTGCTGCGTATATTTATCACGCAGAAAAAATGCCCCCTTCCCCTTGCTGAGAAGGAGAGAGGAAGACTGGGTTGCATTGTCAGCAACACAAATTAGCTTGCTACTGATTTGAGTTGTGTGTATGTTCCTCTTAAAATGTCAATCCCTCCCACCCAATGTGCCATGATCTTTGTAAACATCTAATGTGTAGTAATTGTTTGAAGCTATTTCAAAACAAAGCAAGCTTGCTTCAATCAAAAAATTCTCCAAGGATCTTATATATATGTAGTCCTTTTATGTCTAAACACCACTCTAAACCACAAACACATGTGCTCTGGGACTATTTTCATTAGAGAAAGCAGCCTTTCAGACAGTATCAGGTCAAAATTTACAGTATTTAAAAGGGTGTCTCTTAGAATTTCTTATCTGATGTTTTTATTTTATGAGAGTGAGTGATAGAGCCAGCTGTCATGAGACTTGGTGTTTTTAAAGCCTTTAGGTAGTGATGCACGATATATATCGGCCGCCATATCGGTAACGGCCGATACAGTATATGTTCATTTTTAGTGTTATCGTTATCGGCCTGATAAGAAAATTAGGCCGATATATTAAAGTTGATAATTAATGTATTATTTCCTTCAGCTGAGACGCTTCAGATGCACTGTTCAACATGATGGTTTGGAATTGCTTGAAATATGATTGAAAAAAAATGAAAATACAGTTTAGTGCAGCACAAGTCTGTCATAAAGACCTTATGCACCAGAGAAACGTAGGCGCCGTCATCTTTAGAATATTGTCTTTGAACTTCCGGTTCTGTATATTTCTATGGCATCGCTGTCGAGGAGTAATTAGCTGATGAAGTGGATTTACTTAGAGTTAACAAAAGTTATCATGAGCATTGTAATGTTTATCATAAGCATTCTAAACCAGATGTCTTAACAAATGTCGAACGGGAATTTTTTTACGAGCAGTTCATTCATACCTATGCAAGATCGCTGCGGAAATACAGACCGGAAGTCAAAAGACAATGAGCGCAACGCTGAAAAGGGGCGGGGCTACATAAGGTCTATAGTCCATGTAAACTATATGATATGTTTGGGATATGGATTTTACTGGTGAGACTTTTGTTTTTGAAATCAGACTCTGGATTTAGATTTATCGGCCAATATATCGGTTGTCGGCTTTCAAGTATAAAGAATTATCGGTATCGGCCAAAATGTTCATATCGGAGAATCCGTAGCTTTAGGTTTTAGATAGTTTCGTAAATTTGTATTTAGTTTATTTATTTCATTATAATTAATAAATTACCCTGTGAATTAGAGTGCTAGAATGTTTTCTCAGAATGTTACACCTTTCTGCAATTCAGTAAATTTCTCTTCATGTAATTCAAATTACAACTTCCTGTCAGACAGGGATGGCTAAAGAAATTCATATTCCAACTGACATCCTCAACTGAAAGGAAACCTATTCTTCAATTATGACTTTACAAAGTCTGAGAAACTCTCAAAAGCATTTCATTTGTGGGATACGTAAAAACACCCTTGATATAAGCAATCTGTAGACATTGAAGCACCCTTACGGCCACTACTGGACTGGAATGTAACGTGTTTTGAAAAATAATTCACAAAATTATTTGGCACTTATTTGTCACAAAAAAGATTATTTTAACTATTTAGAAGACAAAAAGTAAGGCAAAATGAAATTAATTGCTCTTAGCAATGTGAAAAGGAGAAAAATCCATGTACAGAAGACTTTATCAGCCTCTTGTCAAAACAACATCAGCTGCTGTTTTTTAACAAGTCAAGACATGCCTCCCAAGAGACAAACGAGACAAAGAACGCCACCCTTGTACACCTGAAAAAGCTAACCAAGAGAGAGTTTGTAGAAGACATACAGGAGTTCTTCCTTAAATTGGGAAGTAAAGGTAGGCCAGACCACCTTCTCGATTTATAAACCAGGGGTGGCAATGGATTGAGAGGAGGCCTTGTGGTCCAAAGGAGCACATGCATTACACAATCCAAGGAGGGAGGGGCCAAAAGCACTATTTGATTTTGAGAATATATCTTTTTCATACTGATATGCTGTCATGTCAACTTAGATCTCAGACTGGATACTTAATGCATTTCACAAACAGTTCACCATGGAAGGGGAGAGCCAGAACCTGTTTCACAACTTTTGAGTGGAGTTGAACAGCAGCAAAAATGACAGAAACATCAATGTGTGATTCAACATGTTGGAGCGGTTTAAAAAAAAATACCTTGGAATCTGCACAAGCTGTCTTTGGGGGGAAGATTGTCCTCCTTCCAGTTGAAAATGGCTGTTATTGTAGAACAATTGGAGGAGGCCGTTCCCATTTAGACAGTGTTTAAATACGGAAACTCCTTGTTTTTCTCTAGCCTGACTTGCTTTGACCTTGCTGTGCTGTCTGGATCTCTCACAGGATGTTCATGAAGGGGGGGGGTCTCTATGTGATGTGTTCACTCACCCTGCAGCAGCCGGTCATTTTTAGAATTAGACTTAGGGCTGTCCTAACACTTCATATTATCTCCTGCCACATGTTGTCAGTCCAAGGTCTCCAACATCCTCATTTTGTTTTAAATAGTCTTTTTCTATATGTCAGGTACGGAACATAAAAATGCAAGAACAAAAAATATTAAAAGCTATTGTCTTCCCCTCCTCTTCCTTGTTACATTTTTCAGAGTGTGCCAGAGACTGTGTACATGCGATTTAAAAAAATTATTGAGGAACCAAATAGTTCAGATAGCTTTGTTTAATAAACAGTAACTTGTTTTTACAAACTTGTAAGTTTGATGTCAATAATCTCCAACCTTATTGCCTGGATGAATTGTGATATAAATGCAATGAGATGGCGAATGTGATTTTCAGCCATTAACAACTTCGGTTCATCATGCAGAGCTACTGTATGGCTTCAGAAGACTTGGAATTTAGTGCTCCTTTCATATGGATTCCTTTCGGGCAAACATTGGCTTTTGTGTTCCGTGAAAGAAAGAACTTTACAAGGCGAGTACATTTTCATTTTTAAAGGTTAACCAGTAAACCAAACTCAGATGTGTACAGTGAAAATGCTTGCAATTCAAGACTCTAAGCAAAACCTGCTGTGCTTTCAGATTTTAACCCAACCAAAGCAAAGCAGTAGCCTCAGAAAGTGAGGTGTGCACACAGCGAAAACCTAAGGCAGAACTGAGATTCTCTTCAGAATGGGCCGTGCACCTCGGATAGCTGTACCAGATCTGTGGTGTTCCAGTTTTCCCTCCACACCCACACCCACCAGCCCAGTCACCTCAGGAATGCAGAAAGAGCACTCACTCTGTGAAGTCTATGGACTAAATTGTACACACTGTGAATGGATTTAGCATGCTTACAAAATGGTTCTTCTTCTCTTTCTTAACAGGTTCCATTGAGCTGAAGCTGAATTATAAGGTCAGACAACAAGAACCAAAGTCTGACACTGAATGACGTTTCGCACATCACAATTTCAGCTCGACAGCTTCAGTTGATCGACGTCCCACTGACACAAAACAAAACTCTTATAATTATCACAGATTTGAGGACATAAAAACTCAACACCAGAAATCAAGTGCTCTGATTTTTTGGTCTCACATCACAGAGTAAGATGGCACACTCTGCCTTCTGTTTGTAAACTGCAACAAGTTGTTGTTTATGCGGGCAGACAACTGTTCACGCAACAAGACAGAAGCAGAAAATAAAGAAGGTAGCTGTTATAGGTAACGCAATCAGAATAAAAAAAAGGCTAAAAATAATGCAAACTACCTTAAGAATGAATACAAAGTACATCCAAAATAAGCAAATTCATAGAAGATTACCTGCTGAGGTAGGATCGGAACACCATCTTCTCCACACCTTTGTTTCCTTCTCTTCTTGTTCAAGTTTAATTTGTAGAATCCGTCTCCTGTTTTTCTGCAAATCTCTTTTCCTTTCTTAGAAGCTCACTCCACTTAATATTTCAGACGGTATTGGTCTTTTGCTGCCACCGCTTTGACGTTCCAGCTCTGACAGTTGTTGCTCAGGGCCGGTGTGTGTCTGTATTGTATGTGGGTGGGTGTGTATACACGGCTAGTGCTTTGTGCCAGTTTCAGCTTGCCTGCCTCCTCGGTCTGCATTCATTTCCTGTTCCAGCACACACAAGCACAACTTCAGAAGATTCAGACAGTTAGCAACAGGAAGAGAGAGATGAGGGTATGGTTCAACTGAATCAGAAAGAAAAGCCTTGTTAAAGCCTTAACCAATTGTTATTCCACAAAAGCAATAAAGCATTACTCAGACAAGACGACGTTCCTTATTAAATAGATGTTCTGTAAATGTTTTTCACGCTTGTGCCTCATCAACAAAATCAGGTCACTGGAAAGGTGGTGGGTGAAATCAATCAGCAAAGCAGTAGACAGGAACACACAACTGAGACTACAACTGACAGGATGTTTTAACTTAAAATAGTTTCCTCACCTGCAAACAGAAAGTTCTTCTTTCATCTCTGCTGTTCACTTGTGTGAGTACAGGCTTATTGACATCTTTCAGGTCCCAGTGAGCTGTAAAAGTTTTTTATGCTTCCCTACAGGCTCCCTTGAGGCAGTTTCATACACTCCTGATGACTACTGATTGAAAAACATCAGCTATTGCAAGAGTTCCCCATGAAGTTTCTATGAATAACACCCAGTGGTTGATTCACACCCATTTGGGCTCTGGTGGTTTCTTCCCTCCCTTCCAGTTTGCACAACCTCTGATCACATTTAGGCTGGATAAAATGGAACGACACCTAAATATAAATACTAAGAAATCTCACACTGAACATTTAGAGGTTGATACTCACCCGCAGATGTGTAAGCAGGACAACATGCCCCACCCCTGTAGTAAAAAAGTATGTTTTCTGGGTGGGGCATGTTAAGATTTACTGTTGCCTTTGGACTCTGTACTTTCAGTGATGTCCCATTTTAGCATGCTTTTGGAATGTGGTGCTCTCCTGGAATAAAAATGGTGGATTGTTTTGTTTTTTAGATGAATCAGCTGTAGTTAGGTCATAAAACAATGTTCTAGTTAGCCTAGTACTCAACATTTAGTGAACACAGTCACACATGGTGCATTTAGCATTGTTGCTATTATTTTACATTTTCACAACTTTTATTAAATGAGCAAAATTATTCACAGGCAGAGTGTTTTTAATTGTCCTGATTTAATAGTGGAACCATCCCCCTGACACTTTTTTTGTACTAGACCGATGTGATAGTCATAGGTAGTTGGGGCATTTTCTGTTCCCTGGAATTAACAACTCCAAGAAGTACATTTTTGGCAAACAAATTATTGTGTGACCATAAACATTTCACATATATAATGACGCATTTTTGCGTGTTAGTGTTTTTAGGCATCTGTAAGCTCTCTTTGTTTTGGAAGGGTGATGAATAATTGATATGGCAGGATTCAGATTGGACAAAGGGTGTGTTATGATGCCCTTTGTGTCCTAATTGATGATATAATTTGTGTTGTGGGAAAGCGGTCAGTTTATTTATGTATTTTTTTAAAGTGATAAAATCACTTGAACGATACAAATAATTGTCTCTATCAAAATGTGTTATAAAATGTATTATTTTTGTCGAAACTGATTCATATAAAAGTATAAACATATTTTAAAGAAAACATTTACAAAAGTTAGAAAAGCTCAAATAGTAATCAATGGTATTTTTGAAACTGTCCCTGCAAGGCCTAGAAACATTCATGTGTCTGCCTTTCTTTCTCCCGGCAGTCCTCCCTCTTCCTCATCCCCTGGAAGGAAACCCACTCTTTCCTGTTCAGTAAGCCAGCCACATGAAGTTTCCTCTTCTCAAACGATCTCATTTCCTGCGAGGATTCACATGTCCTTGCACCAAATGCACTCTGGAGTGGAGGACAGGTAGTGTGTGAGTTTTTTGGATGGTGCATAGGCTATCTTATGATCTTAAGACATACTGAGACATAATCACAATCACAAAGGCAGGTGGTGTGCAACACTTGATCAGGTGAACATGTCCCAGTAGTCTATCTTTATAAATGTTTCCCCCTCATTCATTGTTTTGCCCCTCTGTCAGATTCAATTTGGCAATTCAGGCAGTTCTCACTTCTCAAAAAGGCCTACTCATTATATGATATATAATTTAGCCATAAGTAGCCTACAAAGACCAGGCAAACAGTGCCACGGCAGAAACTTTTATGCTTAACATGTTTCTTATTTGTCAAATAGGCATACAATAAGAGGACAGTTAACAACACAAACGGTAAATAGATACAGATAGGTGTTATGTAACTACATTTATTTCCCAAAAACGGTTTCTCGAGAGCATGTAAATGTAAACTGTGTGAAGCTACGAATTTCACGGACTTGTTGAATTGTCACGACAGCAATGTTGCGCTGCCCTCTACCGACGGAGATTTGCAATAACGCAGTAATAACTGAATTTGAAATGAATTGCCAGATAAAAGAAAGAGAGATATAGTTGAATAGTTAAAGCCTATTATTGCCTAGTTTATTGACTATTTTTCCATTGAAATGAAATAGACACGTAGGCCTCCATTTTCCTTTTTTTTTTATGTGACCCGTGTGTCTTCACGTGTAAACAGGCTACATAGTACAAAAGGCTAACTGCTTTGTACACTGTACAAAGCAGTAGCCTTTTATTATTTTGTACTTTGTCGTCCATGAGGCACAGCGTGATTTGCACAATATTTGTTCCAGGATTCACATCCATTGATAATTCTTTGAATAATAAAAAGAAAAAAAATGGAAATTTACCCAATTGCAATCAACGTTTGTTTTTGACGAATGATCGCTTGCGTCATAATGCAAACATGGCAATGGAATTGCTGAAGGAATTCTAAGGGAGAGCGCAGACTCGTCACTATGGAAACTGAAAGTGAAATGCTGTATGTAAACAATGCCCTGTAACAATGAGGGATTACCACAAGCCCGAATTGTGTCATCATCACCTCACACAAACGGTTTGATGATGTCACCCTAATCAAGAACGCATCTTAAATAATGTTGCACACTTTGTGCATGAGATTATCATTACTTTTTTTATTTGAAATAAACTTATTTTTATAAATAAAATGTAACAGTGCAAAAAAAAAAAAAGTTTAAATGCTCTTTTTTGACAAAATGATCTAACGCAAGATTTTACCTAAGAAAGAAATAACAGAAGATATAGGAATATTGATAATGTACAGTAGGCCCTATCCTAATTTGGATTAGCCTAATTTTAATTTTAAATAGCCTACATAGCTAGGCCTAATAGTGATTATGAAATTCCCGATTTTTTTTCTTTTTTTTCTGATGAGTGAGATCACACTTAGGCTACTTGTCTTTTCATGATGTGTAAACTGATCTAGATCCATCTCATTGCGTTTTCAAGGTGAGAAAATTAACTCCCATTGCGATGAAGAGAATCACGTGATTCTTTCATTTTCTCCTTCTGAAACTTCCAATTGTAATACCGCTGGGCTTCCCGCGTTGCACCTGCTCAAGGGAATGCAAATTACTAGGGTTTTTTTCTTTGGAGAACACTATATAGCCAAGGTCTTGCCATGAACTAGTATCCATATCGTAGTATTCATATCGTTTGAATTGTAGCACTGGACTGTACTGCTGCCAATATAAAACCATTATGAGAACTTTTTTGTGTTTCATGTGGCTTATCATTTTACCGAACCCATTTGCAGAATCCTTTATTCAGGAGAGAAGGGATTTGTCTAAAACAATCGAATATCTGCATGAACTGGTAAGTCTAATTTATTATATGTATCTATGTAGCCTATCTATCTATGTATTTATGTAGTATCTATGTATCTATGTATACACACTATGTATCACGAAAACAAAATTAGGCCTACTTTATTATAGCCTAGTGTTGTTCAGTACTCATTTATTTTATGGATGTTTTATAGTTTACAACTTGTGTATTAGATATTAACCATTATGTTAACAAATAGGCCTACTTAACAGTATAGTGGGTATTGTTTTAATATGGAGCTCATAATACCTTATTAAAATCATCAAGTAATATGATGGTTCATTAATTCATGATACCTATGGTTTAATGTTACCTCTCTCTCTCTCCCTCCCTCCCTCTCTCTCTCTCTCTCTCTCTCTCTCTCTCTCTCTCTCTCTCTCTCTCTCTCTCTCTCTCTCTCTCAAAGGGCCCAAAAGAATGCAAGGCAGAGGTGTTAAATGCCACGCATGATCGGTTCACGAGTGTTCCCAAAAAGGTATAGCTAGACAAAATATCAAGAAACAGTAGGTACACAGAAGTGTTAAATCCTGATATACCTTCCTGCGGAGTTTTATTTGCACACTCAGTCAAATGCATCTCCCTGTGTTTTTTAATGAGTCCAAAGAACTTGATTTGCTGGTTCAGGTGTGTCATCATAAATCTCTGCAGCGAGGATGATCGCCAGAAATATTTAGCACTGTTGGAGTCACTTATTGTTTTTAGCATCCTGATGGTTTGATAATTAATGCTTTGTCTTTTTCTTGTGCCCAGGAAAGAATTCATGCACTGAAGATAATATATAATTCTACATTCGAGCTCTTCAAAAAGAAAATAACTCATGGTCACTGGAATAAAGATGCAATTCAAAATCTAATGGAGCACCTTTACCGGCAAGCTAGGCCTATATCAAATAGCGTAAGTCACAGGCATTAGTTGGCATTAGTTCAACATCGACATTTTTGCACAATTCTGGATTGTAATACAATGTCTCGTTAATATCTAGGTGCCGCCGATGAGCTCTGAACTTGAGACGCTGATCAAGGACTTCAATTTGCTTGATCAATTTCTTACACAACAGGTGAGATATTCAGCAAACAACGCGCTATACCATAACGAGAAAGTTTAGAAAGTGTTTGTACCTTCGTAGTTCAAATCTGTGATTAATGAGTGACTTTTCTTTCCTCCAGAACTTTAGCCGCTGCGCGTGGGAGATTGGGCGCAATGAGATTTTGTCCGTCATGAGCCGCTTGAACAGAAAGCCCGCACATAAAAAGAGACAAAATTAGTCTATAGATAGCTATTTAGTAAATTAAATGTTGGCCGTAATTTATTTATGATATTTATTGTTTTTCTTTTGCACTTTTCACTTTTCATTGAAGTCGAGTTCGAACGAACGAATGCATGAATTAATGAATTTCCAGATTAATATTAATTATGCCATTGTCCAAACTGGCTTTAATGGCACTGCATTTATTTATTAGATTAGAACAACTAATCTACACTAAAGGATCTACATCGAGCAATAAACTGTTGTCTGCTGTTATGTAAAGCACTGTTTATCCAGGGCATGTGCTGTGAAGGAATGTTTTGTTTACATGTTGAATTAAATTTATGAATGTCTTTGTAAGAAATGTGTTGCCACATAAGACGATGTGGGAATCTGTCACTTCGCCAATGTTCATTAAAAATAAATGCAAAAAAAAAAATACACTTGTCTCTTATTCAGTACAAGATGCTCCCCAGTCCCACACCCTAATTTTTTTTTTCTCCTGACCAAAGATTGCACAAAATCTAATCTCGGCTTTTGATGAATAGCCTAGCTATTTTTAATTTGGCAATTTCCTCTGAATATCAACATTTGTGAGATTTAGTCCGCCAAAACTGTTTTGAGCTTAATTGTTCAACATTGTCTCTCTGGAAAATAATGATTTATGACATTATATTATGTTTGATATAAACGGTTTTTGTGTCCATTTATTAATGAGGGATTTGTGGACACATTCATGTTTTTAGATTTGTGGATTAAAAGTTATAGGCTATAGTTTTTATTTTGAAGTAAAAAGATAAAATCAGACCATTGGGGTAAGATGAACCAACCAGGTGCAAAGTGACATGTTGTTACTTGTATTATTATTTTATGGATAACTTGCTGTGATTTGGGTTATTATTTAATATTTATATTAATTAATTCAGATGTCTTGGCCTTTATTAAAACCTAGGTTTATTGAGTGAAATCATTCAATTTGATTTCAGTGTTTCTATTATTACATAGCCTATCTTCAATTAACATATGGGCAAATAAATTATGAAAATAAGAAAATATGAAATAATTATATTATATTATATTGTGTTATATTATATTATATTTTATTATTACACGGTTATTCAATTATTCAACTAAACTGTCAAAATAAAATTTTAAATGTCTGATTTATTGTATTTTACATTAATGACACTTTAAAAATATATTTAATATATGAAAATTAAGAATAAACACAAAACGGGATTTATACATTCATTCTGTATGTATTTGACATATGACATTTTGTACATGTGCAATAACAACTAAATTAGCAAATGTTTCTATTTATTTCCTATAACAATACATTGTTTGATACATCATCATCCAGCACATCCTAAACTTATATCTAAATAGTTGCAGTTTAAAAGTAGGGGGAGACCAGGGAAGTTGATTTTTTACATTTCTGTCTTAAAGTTCTTTTTTCTCTCTCTTTTTTTTTTTTTTTGGAAAATACTTTTTAAGCTTTTTATTCAACACAGACTTCTTAATATAATTGGTGTGTGTGTGTGTGTGTTACATTAGCATCATCCTAATAACACTGAATAGCGTGTGTGTGTATAAGCCAGCACTTTTTGTTACTGTCAGTCATTGTAATTGGCAATAAAAAATGCCATTCAATTCTGCCACAGATGTGACTTTTCCAGCTCTTATAAATCATAAATTATTCTCTCTTCAAAATGCTGAGATACACCCTTCAGTTTGTCTTTCTCCTCCAAGACCTATGCATACTGAAATTCAAAAAAAAAAAAAAAAAAAGTTTTACAATTATAGCTACATACATCCCCAGTCTCCCCAACTCAACATTGTTCTTATACAGGAACTTGCATAATTCTTGTGAGATTACCTGGGGGGCATCTTCCCCATGTTACCAGGGGCGTAGAATTTAGTAGGGACGCTAGGGACGTGTAGCAATAATTTTGATAAAAACTTAAAATATATTTATTGATGTCCCCGTCCCCACCAATTTCCAAATCAAACCTACGCCACTGCATGTTACCATGCATGTCTATTCACGCAAGTTGTCACGTTTTGCAGGGTGGGTGGGTATATTTTTGAAAGTCAATTCCGGCATTGACATATTAGGCCTATAGCATACTGAAACAAACAACAACAACAAAAACTTTGATCATGAACATTTACAAAGAGAAGAAGAAGGCGAACTCGTCATTACTTGTATTCACTCTTTTTTTATTGCTTTGGGCTCTGCTGTCATGCAATATTCGACAGAAAAGGAGGCGACAGCTGTGGTCGAAAGACACAAAACACAGGTATCGATGAGTGAACCAGCCTATGAAACCAGGAGCCCGCTTACTCTCACGAAAAGATTTTCTCCCCCTAACTTTCTTTCCTTCCTTCACTTTTACATAACCTAATACCGTGAACAAAATGTGTGCTGTAAGGACTTCGTGATACTTTTGGTCTCACTCTCAGGTCAACAAACTGCGGTCAAAACACATCCTCCTAACATCTGTTTCAATATTAGTCTCTATATGATTTTATCTTGCCATCTACAGGCAAAGCAAAGAGGTGCAATATATAGTGCTCAGTGATTGGAATAGCTACCTGCACGCATAGCCCAAATATGTTTCATTTAATCGTACAAAAAGGAGCCTACATCAATTTTCACCAACGAGGGAAAATCACTGTGACGCGAATAGCCGTGTTAAATAATCCCAGAACAAAACACTGATCTTGGAGAATCTTCGAGTTAGCTTAGGCTATTTGATTTAGCTATCTATGGGTGCAATGTTTTAGCTTTTTCTTAGTTTTGTTTAAAGTAATGGAGTTTGGCCATTATTTACTTGATTAAATTGGCACACTTGATATGATATCGAATAGTAATTGATTGTTTTAACAACTTTTTATTAATTTGTATTTTTATTGTGATTGTCATAGGCTACCATTTTATCCGTGAAATTTAGGTGCAATATGTCAATTACCTGATTGCAGATATGAAATTCCAAAATACCTTTTTGTTTAAATCAGCTGTTCCAAAACACTATATGTCCATTATATAAATATAATGGATTAATTCTTAAATATATACCTTTTTCTAAAACAAAAACAAACAAAAATGCTTTTAAATGTTTTTTGAAAGTAAATGTTGAGATGTGAAATTACAAACGAAGTGAAATTACATTGTATTGCACCATGAGAAAGGGTGAAGTCTCAGTGAGAGCTTGAGGTTACGTCAACACGTTGACGTTGCGTAATGCGTGACATCACGTCTCAAACAGAAAGTGAAGCCCGCAGACCATCTCTCAGTTTGGAAACTGCAAACTGGAGCTCGTAATACTTTGGAATCAGGTAATTATTTCGAACCGTGGGATTGCTTTAATTTAACTTGCTAATAGCATTGATTATTGTATTGCACGTAAGTTTATGTGCTTTTTGCGTTGGTGTCTAAGCCAAAGACTGTTAAAGAGTAGGCTAGACTAGACTAGACTCTAGTCTAGTTAATAAGAGTATTAACTACATATCATTTCTACCGTTGTCTTTTCTAAATACAAAATTAATAACTTTTAAAAGTATTTTTGATCAATTAAAGCAGACCAGGCTACAGGCTATAGGCTATATTGCGTGATATAGCCTGTATGCACGAAAGTGAAAGTAGGCTAGGCCTAAGCGGGAATGCCCGCTTTAGATTTTGCTTTCCAAACTCCAGAATAAATCCCAGACACTGCACCATGTACCTGCAACATTCTCTCGAGCGACAGTGTAGAATACTACTGCATTCATTCAAAGATGAAGACTCAAATGTGGACGTATATGTTTGTGCTATTTTTTACTCTGCAGAGTAAATGCTCAGCTTGCGAATGGCTCGGCCAATACAGGAGGATAAGCAGAGATTCTCTGACTCTCCTTAAGGAAATGGTAAGTAGCTACACTTAAAATCTTTAGGCTTTATTTTTGAATTGTTAGAATACAATAGTGACAGTGACGTTAGTTCTATATTAGACAGCATTGCAACTTTCATTTAAATACTTTTTCAACGATTTATGCAACAGATTTGTTACTTTTTTTCTTAAAAATAACCTATAAAAATTGTTAACTCAACCTTACAGAATCATGCACAACTATTTGAAATACTATGCAATGTTTTGCTATTGTGGAATGTTGTCACTGATTTGCCTTTATGTTACATCTTTGCTTCTAACCTTAATTTTTGTCACAAAAATTTCTGTTGTCAACACTATTTGATAAGTTTCTATTTCTACATGTTCTAATCATCATTCGTAATATAACGTGGTTGCCACACGTGCAATGCACTAACCACTGCGGGTTTGCACCACTTTGATTTTATAGAAAATTTAAGACAGCACTTAAAGTTTTCGTTTTTGTAGGTTGATGTGTAACAGCAAGCAATGTCAAATATTCAGCATGTGGTATATATATGAAAAAATACTAATTGTACTCTGTCTTATAGGGTGAAAACTATCCTGATATCAGGGTGCCATTTCCAGGGCAACTGTACAACTGGATAGACAACGCTAAGGTTTGCAGAACTTTTCTCCTCCTTTAACAGCACTTGAACAGAGTGCAAAACATTTCATCTCATATAAATAACACTTGAGTTATCAGAGAAAATCTTGCATACAATGTTCATAATCCGGCGTTATGTCTCCTTGCAGGTGGAGGACCAGGTTAAGTTTCTTGTCCTGACCTTAGAACATATCATCCGAATCATGGATGCCAGGGAGGACATGAACGCAGCACAATGGAACCTAAAGACTGTCGACCGTTTCCTATCTAACCTGAACAGGCAGTCGTCGGAACTTAAAGAATGTGTAAGTCTTGTGTGAAAGTGCATGGAAACTGTTTTAATGAATTGGATATTATCCTACATTTTAAATCGAAGAGATTATCAGGTTCCACTTTATTTGGATTGTCCCTTTAACACATTCAGTTGACTATAACGTTGCACCTACAGGTCTACTAACTTAGTGGAGTATTAGTAGACTGGTAGGGTTAGGATTAGAATAAGTTGACATGTAGTTGCAAAGTTACTTATAGTTAGTAGAAGGTTTGTTGGAGGAACATCACAATAAAGAGTTGGCAGATATTAAGCAGACTGTCTACTAATACTCTAATGAGAGTTAGAGTTAGAGCATTAATCCTACAGATAAAAACGCTGAATGAAAATGAGCCTAACTATTCAATGAATGTGTTTAAATGAGATTTGGAGACTGTCAAAAATATATGAGTGTAGAAGTATATAGACCCTGTAGAGGTATTTTTCATCATGTTAATTTTGTCATTAATGTTATTTTTGCTAATTGTTTACGTTTTATGGATTTTTTTTCAGGTGGCTCGATACCACCATCCATCACATAAGGAGTCCTACGAGATTAAGATAAAAAGGCACTTCAGGAAATTAAAGAAGATTCTAAAGAAAAAAGTAAGTTTGATCGCATATTACATTATCTGCGTACCATAAGAGGCATATCATATTTGCTCTAATGTTACTTTATAAAGAGTAAAAGGAATGATTTCCTTCCATATAAATTGTAGTCAGCTGTACTCAGCTAAAGCTGTGCCTCTTGTGTTTTCAGGAATATAGCGCTCAGGCATGGGAGCTGATCCGGAGAGCTGTGAGACATCACCTTCAGAGGATGGACATCATCGCAAGCAATGCCACGTCCTCTCTAAAAGTTTAACAGATGAGTTAAAGAATTGCTTGTGATAGTGGTGTTGGAGTGTTGACAAGTTACTGCAAACAATGCCTTGCAACCAAAAACTCGAAAAAAAATCGAATGTAACAAATGTAATCATTTACATGATTGTATTTCATTGCAATGAAGGTAGCCTAGAGTTGTATGTTTTGCCTAATGGCTGGTGTTTAGTTAGTTTTTTTTCTATGAAAACTTGAAGTATTTGGATCAAGCAAGCTAATTATTTTGCTTACCTGTGGAATTCCTGTGAAAATTTTAGTTTTATTTATTTATGTTTTATTGTGGTGTAAATAGGCCTCTGTGCCTAAACAATTCTCAGATTTTCTTTTCTGAATCTGAACAAATGTTATAAAAGAAACAAGCAAGCTATGCAATTCAAATCACCTGTAGCCTTATTTATTAACTGTGAGTCAGTTGTTATGTGTTTGTGATTGTTTCTGGTATTTATTATACTTAATTTAATTTAAATTGTGCAATTTTTGTATCCCAGGATATTTACTGTTCTCATTTGTACTGTTTTTATAGTTATTTATAAATTTATTTATTTGATCTGTTTGCTCTCAAAATGTTTTTGTACTTTCAAAGTTATTTATTTATTTGATCTGTTTGATCACAACATTTTTGTACTTTCAAATAAAAATAAGTTATTATAAATAATGTTTCTTTCATTTGGTTTACTAAATAATTCCCTAACTTGTACTATACTTTTCTAGTATAGTTCTTTGGAGATTGAAAATGTTTTTTGAGGTATTTAAAAAGTTTTGCCTATATGGCATCAAAATGCAAACCCATTTTTTATTCTAATTTCCAGACATGTGTAGAATGCAAATTCTTCTTAAAATACGTCAAACGTTTCACTATGATGGACACGGAGGTGCAGAAATTGCATATGCAACAGATTAGTGCTTTTCTCGTACGGGGGCGCCAAAGTCACATCTGTATCACCAAATAAACCTTCTTCTGTGAAACACAAAAGAAGATATTTCGTCTTGTTTTGTTTTGTTTTTTTCCTCCATATGAGCGTCAAAAACAACCGAAACATCTAAAATAAAGTCATACAGGTTTTGGAATGCAATAAGCAGCCTAACTGATTACAGAGTTTACATTTTACGAATAAATTTGAACTGTTGAAGAAGAATTAGGCCTAGATTTTTTTGGTGCGACTGCGTAGGCCTACTAGGACGCATTAATGTTTCACACTTAATCACAATGGTGCTTCAAGGTTTTTTTTTTGTTTTGTTTTTAATGGGCTTTAAACTAACTTTGTTTTTCCCTGCTTTAAATAAAACAAAGATTAAGTAGGCTAGCCTATAGGCCTACTACGTTTATATTTCAGTCGTTAGCCTATACTTCGCAATTTCACATTAAATTCGGCGTGTTACTTGTCGGTTCTTTTAATTCATTGTGAAAATTGTTTCTTTACCATCTATTTTAAGTGTAGGAAATATGTAGGCTATATAAAGTGATTATCTTGAAGCATTTATTCACTTTAGACGATTGACAATTAGCCTATACATTTTTATATTGGCCTATTTAAGTACAAGACAATTGACTAACAAAATTAGTCAGCCTACAACACTCCACCATATCCATAGCATAAAACGCAATCTTTAGGCTAGGTATTTATTTATTTTTCTTTTGTTTGTCTCATTAAACTATTTCAACAATTCCATTATGATGCATTCAAAGGAAACCATTTTTTTTTAAATCAGTTGGTCTCATGCTCAGTTCTATAATGATGAGCAAGCACATAGGCTAATGATATTTACTGTTTTTTTTTTCCAAATAGTCTACCTTGCTTACTCATCAGCAGAGGCTAAATGAATCTAATTTCAAGTAATTGCGCTTCGTACGTTAACACCGGTGAAGATGGAATATTCCACTTTTGAATGATGACGGTGTTGGTATTATTAATAAAACGCACACTCATTATTAGTTTTAAGTGGAACACAACCTGCCACATGCACGGGCTGAATTGGCAGAATTGAATTCATAGAGCGCGAGCTCCTGGGTGTAAATGCTCGTGTGGTCTGTGCGCCTCGGAACTAGGCTATATGCTGCGGTGGATCGTTGGCAGTTATGATTAACTGATGTGGGTTTTTGTAACACCTAGGGTGCTTCCTTTTCCCATTAGGCTATCTGAGAAAATGATTTTGTTCTCATCAATTTTATGAAAGAAAAGAAATCAACCGTTCATTCATTGAAAGCAATGGGACTTGCCCAGCAGCTTTTTTCGAGTTGAGAGTGAAAAGTGAAAAGTGAAAATGGCTACGTAATCTACCACCCATCGGTCTCCTGATTACAATGAAAGATATGGATAATGAGATAAAATAAAAACATGCCAACTGTAATTAAAACAATTACGGTATATAGCCTAATAAAAATAAAAAGCGGGGGCGAACGTTTTTTTTTCTCAACGTGAAACTCAACAGCTAATTTTTTTTTTTTAAGCACAAATTTGTAGCCCATTTGTGGTCTGTTTTTGGTTGCCCTACAAGAAAACCAGAGATGAATCCAAAGAACTAATTTATTCAAAACATTTCTTGATCGTTCTAAGTTTTCATGATAAAATACCGAGAACATATACTAATTGATTCATTACAAAAAATAATTATATGTCACAAATGCATTAAATATCAAAAAGGTGGCATATATAGTTCAGAAATATTGTTCAAAGTGAAACTTCTTGGACAGGCAGACAGACCGACAGATGATGATGATAGATAGATAGATAGATAGATAGATAGATAGATAGATAGATAGATAGATAGATAGATAGATAGATAGATAGATAGACAGATAGACAGATAGATAGATAGATAGATAGATAGATAGATAGATAGATAGATAGATAGATAGATAGATAGATAGATAGATAGATAGATAGATAGATAGATAGATAGATAGATAGATAGATAGATAGATAGATAGATAGATAGATAGATAGATAGATAGATAGATAGATAGATAGATAGATAGACCACATCCTCTTAACCTCCACAGTACAGGAGAGAGTTGCGCAGCGGGAAACAAAAAGAGAAGCGCTGCGGTTTGCAAAACTTCCAGATACGATTAGCCTATTCTTTCCATTCATCACTCTGTTTTAGTATAAAACCATCAATTGCCATCCATATCTTCAGCAAGAGTCTTTCAATAAGTTTCAGCACAGTTTGTGAATCAGTGCTATTTTAAAGCTACTTTAATTTTTTGACTTGGACAATCAGCCTCATCATTCTGATTTTTATTCGCACAAAATACAAAATGGCACTTTGGAAATGTATCGCTTTATTTAGTCTATTTCTTTTTTTCTCGCAAATTTGTTCAATGCCAACAAAGTGCATCATGCGGCGGACACTTGTGAAAACAACTCACAATCTACTTGAGAATATGGTAAGTTGAGTTTCTCTCTTTTTTTCCATTTGTTCTTTTTATATCCTTTCCCTGCCTGACCTAGCCATGTCCCTATGTGTCTTTTCTCATAGGGGGGTCTTTTTCCTCGTGAATGCTTGAAAGAAAACGTTGAAATACCCTTCCCGAAATCTGCACTGCAACCAAATGGCTCCAATCAGGTAAAACACATCAATATTTATTCCAGGAATATTAACTCCTTGATTGTCTAGCCTAAATGTTTGAGGAATAGCCTTCTTGATGAAGACTGCATACATATTCTAACTGTTGTATGTTTAATTTTCAGAAAATCGGTGTAGAAAAGGCAATGTATAAAATCATGGAGCACATTGACTTCCTGTTTGCTAACGAGAGTTATCCAGAGTCCTGGAACCAGGAGAAAGTGGAGCATTTCCAGAACATAGTTTACCGTTTAATTTCCGATAACAAATGTGTAAGTTCGAAAAACATTTATTTGCATAGGCTATTATAGATGGATATATGAAGATTGCTGTAATTATGTCATATTTCTCATCCGTGTGTAGATTATGGGGAGAACACACAGACCCGTGGATGATTTTCCAGCAAGAGAGGGTGCTCTGAAAACCTACTTTGATAAACTGGCCACTCTGCTCAGAAGCACGGTACATTAAATCAGATTTCAGTAGGCAACGCAAAAATTAATACTGTGATGTCATCCCACAGCCTGTTTATTAATTGCTGTCTGTTTCCCTCAATCAGGAGCAGAGTGTCTGCGCGTGGGAGGTGGTTAGAAAGGAGCTCCTGCGTGTTCTCAACGTCATCCTCCAGCTTAAATCATTCAAAGTGTAGTTTTCCGTGGACTGACTGACTATTTATTTATTTATTTATTTATTTATTTATTTATGTATTTATTTATGTATTTATTTATTTATGTATTTGATTACTTGATTGATTTGTAAACCGTTCATTGCAACGCATTCTCACCCCAAGGCGTCACCTTTGACCATGCTTCAATATTTGACGCTTCAATATTACTGACGCTAAAGGGCACCTAAAGCGTCAGATATTGAAGCATGGTCACCTTGGGGGTGAGAATGGGCTGTTCATTCAGCCCATTCTCACTCCCAAGGCGTCACCTAACTGACGCCTTGGGAAGCATTTGACCATGCTTCAATATCTGACGCTTTAGGCGCCCTTTAGCGTCAGTTAGATGACGCCCTAGGATCGCGTGTACCCTACCCCCACCCCATACCTAAACCTAACCGCGTCCTCTAACTGACGCTTTCCTTTAGCGTCAGTTAGATGACGCCGTAGGATCGCGTCATGTAAGTGACGCTAAAGGGCGCCTAAAACGTCAAATATTGAAGCATGGTCAAAGGTGACGCCTTGGGGTGAGAATGTGTTGGTTCATTGCCTCAATTTTTCAGCCTAAAATGTATACTTTATGGTTAGCTAACTTTGTATTTGTTAATTTGCAGCCCATTCTCACCCCCAAGGCGTCACCTAACTGACGCCTTGGGAAGCATTTGGACATGCTTCAATATCTGACGCTTTAGGCGGCCTTTAGCGTCAGTTAGATGACGCCCTAGGATCGCGTGTACCCTACCCCCACCCCATACCTAAACCTAACCGCGTCCTCTAACTGACGCTTTCCTTTAGCGTCAGTTAGATGACGCCGTAGGATCGCGTCATGTAAGTGACGCTAAAGGGCGCCTAAAATGTCAAATATTGAAGCATGGTCAAAGGTGACGCCTTGGGGTGAGAATGCGTTGTAATTTGTGAAATAGCTACATTTAGGCTACACAGTCTCCTGACAACATCACTTTAAAATGTAATGTAAACATGCATTTTCTGTAAAGCTGCTTTGTGTACACATGAATGTGAATTCAAATACTGAACACTCAATAAAACACTGAAGACAAGTTTATCTCCGAGTAGCTACAATTTACAAGATGCGACTTACAACTGAACAGCAATACACATCATGCTGTAGGCCTATTGCTGTAAAATTAAAGCGGATATTCAGACAGATTGCAACTGTAAAAATGCTTTTCTATAACAGTTCGATAAACAAAAAGTTAAATTGATTGAGTAACACACATTTCACACACAATATTTACGAAAGTACAATTAAATATACTGTATGTAGTAGCCTATAGTTTATACTGCAAGTATAGGCTACTTGTCAGTACATAAACAGTACACTGAAAGTATACGTTATTATTTTTAGTTTAAAAGATAGGCCTACAATTATAGCACTCTTGAAAAAAGGTAAGTGGTGCAAACAATGTCTAGCTCCCCCTATTAAAGGGTAAAGTAGTTCACTCTCACGTTGTTCCAAACATGTATGAGTTTCTTTCCTATGTTGAACACAAAAGAAGATATTTTTAAGAATGTTGCTAATCAAACAGTTGATGGACGCCATTGACTTCCATTTGGATGTCAATGGGGTCCATCAAAATATATTTTATGTTCAGCAGAAGAAAGAAATTCATACAGGTTTGAAACAACTTGAGGTTGAGTAAATGACGTAATAAACAAAACATTCTGTCACCATTTACTCACCATCATGGATGTTGAAGCTTGAAAGTTTATGTATAACAAGTTTAATCAAATATTGCTTTCTACAGCTACTTTTGGTAATGTATATTTGATGCTTTTCTCATTTAACACAATAATGACTTTATTTAATGGGGTGGACATTTTGGGGATAAACTACATACTGATACTACATATTGAGTCCAGCACCACCCAATCATTTAGGGTGTTTTTACATTTAGCCTACATTTATTCATTTAGCTGACACTTTTCTCCAAAGTGACTTACAATTGCTATATGTCAGAGGTTGCACGCCTCTGGAGCAAACTAGGGGTTAAGTGTCTTGCTCAGGGACACATTGGTGTTGGTGTTTTTTTGCTTTTTATCCAAAGCATTGGTGCTTTGGATAAAAGCGTCAGATAAATGTAAATGGTGTTATTATTCTCTGGATAAGTGGATTAATAAGTGGATTCGAACCCGGGTCTCTCACACCAAAGGCATGCGTCTTATCCACTGCGCCGGTTCTAAACAGTACCAAAGTAGGGTTCTTCGCCTTGTAACAATAGCAGAACCCTTTTTGGTGCTAAATAGAACCCTTTTTATAAGGTTCCATAAAGAACCATACTTTGAAAGTGCTAACCTTAATATAAATAACCTTTTCAGCAATATTTCCTTTCACTGATATTAATAGTGTATATTATCTTCATATTATTAATATTACTAACAAAATGAACAAAATGACTCATTCAAAAAGATTCATTAATTTTGATGAACGAGTTCCAACAGGAGAGTCACGAACGTGCATCAGAGCAAGGTGAGCATTTGTGCTGTTGGGGAATTTTAATCTCACATGTATTATATGTGATCATTAGGTCTTGTGTAATAACAGAGGAATGTCTTATGGTTTTGCTATCCTTGAAGGAGGTTATTTGTCTTTCCTTTTATCAAGAGTGGAGTGAGGCACCAGAGAACCGGCCGGGTCAGAGGTCATCTTAGATGGGGGAGGATAGAGGGGGTTAGCGTAAATTTAACCTAGCATTTGATTCCTATTGCTTGTGGAATTTTACAGAGAGGCTTGGCCTGCAGTAAATAACCTTGGGAGAGCTATATAGAAAGACACCGGCCTGTGTTCTGGGCATCACTCTCTTCACAGTGTACCAATCTGTGTTAGCGACTGGGCCTATTCTTGCAAGAATAAACTTCTCTTTCTTTATTAATTTGACTCTGTAGTGTCTCTTACGCAGTGATGTCTGTTTATTGAATTTTTGCCTTAAAGCCACAATATGTATGTTTTCTGCATTAAAAATAGCAAAAATAACTGTATCTATGTTATATATTTCTGTTAGATATGTACTTACATTATCCCGACAGTTTCCACCAAATTTCAAATACGGAGAAATTTATAGTTTAATTCGAAGACACGGGACGTTTCTTTATTTCCGTTTCGTCGCCCGTCTATGGCGTCATATTACCTTTGACTCCTCTATTTTCTCTAACTTCCTTGCGGAACCCGGCGAAACCGCCAAACACAAAGGGGAACACTGGACTACCGCCAATAAAGCAAAGAAAATGACGAAGAAAAAAAAGTAGTACGTATTTTTATGTGTGTAAATCACGTGCCCGCTCACGAGCGCTCACTCTTAACAGACACACTGTCCCCGGTGCTGCTCGCGCACAAAGCGCTCCCCGTTCACAGTAACCGGGTCGTCTCATTCAAATCAGCCAACTGTTGCTGTTAGCGAGCCGCGCACATTGAATACTCTTATGAGTCAGGCTGCGAATGTACGTGCCGGCTTCAGCTCTCTCATGCTTACTAAATAAACGCCTCACCTCCGGCGCCGCGCACTCACTACATTCCCTTTAGCCTTTAGCACATAGTGGATGAATAACGCAAACCCAGTCAAACGTTTGACTGCAGTATCTTATGTGCTTTATAATCCGGTGCGCTTGAAAAATATTCTAAAATAGGTCATTCATTGAAGTAGCGTAATATTAATATTTATATTCGTCTGTATAATAGTTATGGACCACGATTACGCTTTGCCTGCAGGTTCTGCTGCTACATCCAGCTCATTAGCTAAAGCTCAAACGTAGGCCTACCTGAAAAATATGACCTGAGAAGGGTTTGGGACAGGAGAAGCATGACACAGGTAAACATCGGGGTTGCATTTAAAGCTTCTTGACAAGCTAAATCTACAGAGAGATGCCGTATATCAATATATTTTGTGAAACGATGATGTCATGTCATGAGCTGAGCTGATTGTCATTAGGCTTGTTTGAGATGCGCCTCGCCTTGCCTGCAATGTAGTCGAGAGTAGGCGGCTGCTGCAGTAAGAGGAGGAGTGAAAAAAGCGCAATCAAGCCGGACAAATCTCGGTTCTCGCAGTGGGTCTGACACCTGTGAGATCAAAGACTGATATCGCGGGATTCATGGGATTCACCTCGTGCAGGTGTTGCTAATAAACTGGATGTAATTTTAAGTTCTGTTGCTTTTATATGAAAATAAATATAACGAACAAGACACCAAAAATACTTGTTATTTAATTACATTCCAAATATGTGTTTATCAATATTTTTTTCTTTAATACAGACATGTGTTTATATATATATTGTTTTAATAAAAATATCATGTGCATAAAAATATCATATGTGACATCACATAATAACCCATATGGCACTGTCAGAGAGTTTATTCACCCATGACAAATATGTATACACATAAAACATGATATCAGAGTTTTAAAATCAAACATGTTAAAAGAGAAAAATACATCACAGTTGTTTAAACCAATGAGCATTAAGCTGTGTCGTCAGCAAGTCGTTTCCCATCATGCTTTTGATCAGCGCAGTCGGGGGAGAGCAACTGCGCGCGACTGCAGAATCCGACAGGTGCGCCTTGCGCTCGCGAGAGTTTTTTGACATACGTCGACATGACATCAGAGCCAGGCGGACCGTTCTCGGACACATTTCTAACCGGCATGCATCTCGCGCTGATCACCGGTGATCGGTTCTGCGCAGATTTTGCTCATCTCAAACAAACCTATTGACAGCGACAACAACTCCCGTGAGCCCACGCTCTTTCCCGACGTCATCAAAAGTAGTCTTTTGTTATTCTTTTAAACGAGTGACCCCTGGTGGCCAAAAATCGCATACTGTACGTTTAACAGTGCTTATAAAACTGTTTTTTATTTTTTTTTACATGACTAATCGTTTCACTATATAAGACCCTTATTCACGGTCCGGTGTCGTTTAAAGCCCGTTGAAGCTACACTGAAACTCTCATTTGGACCTTGCACCGTTTGGTGCCCAGCAAGTCCATTATATAGAGAAAAATCCTGGAAGACAAAAACGACAAAAATCGGTGTTGCCTACACTGTGTTATCCTCTTTTTAAAATTCCCTCCCTGTTGACTTCAATAGGGCAAGTTCTAAACCTGCTTTTAGCCTCTTCACATCCTTGATTTGTCATTACGAGTGCACAGCCAAGTGAGTGGTGTTAATAAGGGACCACGGTCAATCTGACTGCAGTAGATGTTAAAGATATTAATAAAATGATGTTAATTCAGCCAGTTCACTTACCTGTTCCTTTATTGTTTTCAGTCAAAGTCCACAGTAGTTGATTGTCGAGTTCATGTGCGCGATCATTGGTATGTTCTTATTAGCTGCGTGTTCGTTTTGTGTGAGCATATGCATGTCTACTGATTTGTTTTACAGGCCATTTGTTTGGGTTTTTGTCATGTTTGGTGTGAGCACATTGTTTGTCATGGTTTCCTTGTGCCATGTGTTCTCCTGTCAATTTGTCTTGCCCTGCCCATCTTGTTACCTGATTATTGATTCATTTGCCCCACATGTCCTCCCTCATTACCTGCTTGTTTGCTTCCTATTTATTCTCCCTGTGTTTTTTTAGTCCTGTGTGGTCAAGTCAAGTTTTCACCCTTGGAGTAGTTTTTGTTTGTATTTTGTTTTATTTTTATTAATAATAAAAACCCATTGTTCAACATTTGAGTCCTCTGAAACAAAGCCTAGTTAGGCAGTTTTGGTAATCAATTAAAGTTATTTCAATTCGTTAGTTTTCTTTTTTTATAATAAAAATATAGGCAAATAAAACTTAATTAAAGCATAAAATCCAATAATACGCTTTGAATCAGAGGTGGACTCCACTCTGGGCTTCTTGTCTTCAGCTTGGGATTTCTTGACGTATCAGAATCCAAAGAGGCAATAATCTATTTAGTCTTTCATATTCCTGTTGTTTATCACCAAAATTAGGTTGATTGATGTAAGTTGTAACTTTTCCAAGACCCGAGATCCTTCTCAAGGACTTAAAGGAGGTGCAAGCTGTCCGCCTTTTCATGTCCTTGAAAGCCATGCATGTATGACTAAACTCAACTAAGACGGCTGATTTCCTTTTCTAGGAGTAGATCCACATCTTTGTGTCCTGATGCACACTTACAACTGCATACTGCAGTCCCAGTTTCGCTCCTCCTCATACATTCAACACTTTCAGACACAATTTTCAACAATTATAGATCTGCCTGTACAGAAGCTGTTGTATGAGACCTGAGCTGGACGATGATAGCAGTTTTGCAAAACAACAACAACAAAAAAACAATTAATAAATTAGTTCATCTTAACACTGGAACTGAATCAAAACTGGAACTGAATCAATCAAAAAAGGTGACTTGACATACATAACTAACATAACTTCTCTCCACCAATAAGCTGGTGTGTGGTGGTCGTTCTGGCGCAATATGGCTGCCGTTGCTTCATCCAGGTGGATGCTGCACATTGGTTGGTTGAGGAGATTCCCCCTTACCATATGTGAAGCACTTTGAGGTCCCAGAAAAAGTGCTATATAAGTGTGACAAATCAACATCTCTGCCCATACAGTAAGGCATTTCTTAGAAACAAAAATAAATAATGTAAGCAATGCATAATATTAATACATTATCCAAATATGTGTAAAAGCATCTAAAATTAATAAACAAGAGACAGGATAATTGCATTTCCTCTACAACAAGGGACAGGGGGAAATCAGGGTTAGGGTGTGGCTAGATGGGTGTGGCTAGCATGGTGATCTTTTATGTTAATGGCATTTATAAGGCAGAGATCTGAAACCCTTCAGCTGCGCACAAATTATTTATGATTTATAGATTTCACATCTGGAAGAGCTCGAGAGATATAGCCTGCGCACGTTTTCGTTCTCTGAATCACATTTTAGAAATAATCGTAAGATGAAATGATATGTAATATTTTATAAATGAGGCCCCAGGTGAGTTGATGTATTTTTGGAACAGTTGCATTTTCATAAATGCCAAGTTAACGCATTTTAACAGCATTTTATTGTTAATGTAATGAATTTGTAATTTGTTAATTACAATATATTTTGGCCCAAAACAATTTTATATTTTTGTTCATTAAAAGTGTGGCAAATATAGCTGGTTTCCCTCATTCTTCATCTGTGTAAAAAGAACAATGTTTAAATGGTTTACAGTCAATGCCTGTGAACATTCATTCGTTAGCTCCATACCCGTCCAAGTTTACTCAAAGCAACAGTTAAACAATAGCAACTGGTAAAATATTTTAGTGATTTAGAAAACTGAGACAGTCTTAGGTTCATCAGAAAAAAAAGTGTAAAGGGCAAAAGAGCAAAAATAAGCTTCACTATATGAAAGATGTTTTATATATATATATATATATATATATATATATATATATATATATATATATATATATATTTGACTTAGTCATGCTGTAATGTATACAGTACAACACATGTGCATTTGCTCTAGACATAGAAATAGACAAAAACAGGATGTTATTTTGCAGCAATGTACAAACAGGATATGTGGTTAAAGTGTGAATAGGTCTATTCGGATCATAGCATGATGTGCTAGAACTAGAAATAACTTCTGCTGGAACAATTAGCAGCATAGATGCACAAATGTATAATGTATAAGGTCACATCATCAATGTCTAAGGTCACAGAGAGAGAGAGAGAGAGAGAGAGAGAGAGAGAGAGAGAGAGAGAGAGAGAGAGAGAGAGAGAGAGAGAGAGAGAGAGAGAGAGAGACACACTTCTTCACAAATAGAGATCTTTTCTTATTAAGTCTTAAGTAACATGCACAGATTTAACACAAATATAATATCATCCTATCCACAGTTCTTAGAGATTTTAATTTAACCTGTGCAGCAAGTGACAACACAGTTCACCACTGACATTGTGTCAAAACAATTCAAATTAAATTACTGACTCCAGCATTTAAAAAAAAAAAAAGTGAAACAAAAGACACAATAGATGGTAGCTTAAAAGACAATTTAAAAAACAAACGCTCTGAAATCCCATGGTGCAAATTTTCTGTTCTTGAAAAGTTTAAATATTTCCATGATTTAATTACTGATGTAAAAATTAGGGAAGACATTTTTCCTCAAAGGGCTTCTCCATTAAGAACAACTGTTTATAGGCCTATCGCACCTAAATCCGTTAGTATAGACAACGCAAATGTAACCCATCATAAAAGAGCAGAACAATACAAAAGCCTCTGTAATATTTGTAATCTCATTGCTATTTTTTACTCTATATGTATTAGTCCTTGACCTCCCTCAGGTAAAGTATACCAGGAATAAGACAATGGTAACCGTTCCAAAAAAATCCACAAAAGCCTTTTGAATGGTAATAAGCAACTCATTTGGAGGATTTAAAACAGTTACTCTGTGCCATAGCACTGAGGCAGCCAGATGATTGATCAAGTACATCCCTCTGAAAAAGAGCTTTGGGAGAAGCCATCATCATTTCTGTAATCTGCCGATCACCCGATTTGCTAATCCCTCGCAATTCGTTTCAGTGTATTGGGCTGTCACAAAAAAAAAACAAAAAAAAAAAACACCAAGTACTTTAAATGCATCTTGAACCCATTTCCACTGGCAATTGAGGTGGTCCTGTTTCCACCCAGTCTCCCAACAAAAAGGATGCACATTTATCCCAGTTAATATGAGCAGATGTAGCAACATTATCCTGTGGGCAATTTGACAAGGCATCTGATAACTTTTCAAAAAAATATCTTCCGCCATTTGGAGCATATACATTAAAAAAGGAAAACCCTATTTGTCCAACCATAATATCTGCTTTTAAAAGTCAACCAGGTATTATCTCAAACATGGTTGATTACAGACAGAGACTATCTATAGCAACACCAGCTCTAAGATTAGTCCCGTGGCTCATTAAAATATTTCCCTTCCAATCACAATTCCAGTGTGTCTATTCTGTAAGTCAGAATGAGTCTCTTGAAGCATAATAATATCTGCCTTTTTCAATTGTAAATTATTAGAGCAAGTCTCTTTGATGTGTCTCGGCATCCGTTTCAATATTTATGGATGCCATGGAAAAGATAATGTTAGGGTCTTCCAGCATATTTCTTTCCTAGGGAGCAAATGCCTTTTATCTGCTTTTCTTCCTGAGTGAATGTTTTATCATTTTGTAAATGCTTTGACAACATTGTTTCAAAAACTTATAAAGCCAATAAATAAAGCCCTTTGAATCTAATTGTTAAAATATAATATAAAGTAGTTAAAATATCAACCTCAATATTCCACATACACCAAATATTATTTCATATACTCATCCATCCTTCCTTCGTTTTTTCATATTTCCCCCTCTTTTTTATGGATCATTCTGAATTGACCTCTTTCAATCAGATATTTAAGGTAATAATTTCACAAATGATACTTTGATAACACAATATTCTGAGAGGTCAGTGTATTCAAAATGTATTTTTTATTCAGAAATTATATATTTTTTAAAAACATACAAAAATACAACATTTTAAATAAATGAATACTCTACTGGAGGGTTCAAGGCTTCAAGCTGTGAACTGTCCAGTGCTGAATGTAAATAGTGACGTAACAAATCGAAATCAAAAGTGAAACTGACAGTTATTTGAGCCCGTACAGTGATCAGGCTTAGAAAGCCAATACATTACATTAATTTATTTAGCTGACGCTTTTATCCAAAGAACCTTTAAAGCCACAAAGGAGACAATAAATAAATAAATAAAATAAATAAATAAATGAACGAACAAACAAACAAACAAATAAATAAATAAATAAATAAATAAGCCAGCATGCGAGTAAGCATCTAGATTTCTGGAGATCCATACATGATGTCAGAGTTGTTCTTTAATATGAAGTTCAGGGTGCGGAGAATCTCACTTCTCGCAATTTCCCAAGCACAGTAACTAAAATCCTGCACAGATAAAAATGCATTCAACAACATTAAAAAAAAAATTATTAGCCTACTGTATATAAGAGGTAATGGGACAGTTAGGTTTGGGACACAAGCGTACCTTTTCTTTCAGAGTAGAGGATATAGTCTCGAAGTAAACCTTGAGTGAGGCGTCTCTGCTGGGAAAATCCTGGTCCGCTTCAGACTTGCCCATGATCTATACATTTGCCAAGACCCAGAAAACATGAAATACTGAATGCAAATTAATTAAATGTCATATACATACATATGGGTAAGATTTGTTTTCTAGACCATACATGACACAAAATCTTATCTCATAGATGCTCGATGAATGGCTATGGTATTTTAATTTTGTCATTTCACCTAAATATAATCAACATTAATTTAGTCAGTTATCGAAAGTTAACTAAATCGAGGTTAACCAATCTCATTTTGTTTCTAAAAATAATAGTGATCTACAGTATGACATTGTATTTTATTTGTTAATAAGAGATTTGTGGACAAATTAATGTTTTTAAATTTGTGGAGTAAAAATTAGGCTTTAGTTTTTATTTTGAAGTGAAAAATAAAATTAAATAATATTTCCCCAAGAGGGCTATTAGCCTACCTCATTGGTGTTAATTGCAATTACAATTTAAGTAAAGTAAATCCACATCGTTCTTAAAGGGGTATCTCTATGGAGTTAATATTGTGCCATAACTAATCAAACAAATCAGCATTTTGCAAACAAACTCGATCAGCTTTGCAAAGGAAAACTGGACTCGCAAACAAACAAAAAGCAATCGGAAAGTACAAAGGTCAATTTGAGCGAAAATGCATTTGAGGAACAAATTTGTATTGTGTTCTCTTCTAAAACAGTAGATGGCGCTAAGCCAGGGGATTTGTTTGCTTAATTATGGCACAATATTAACTCCATTAACTCCATCTCCCCATCTCTCTTACTTGATTCTGATTCATCAGTTGAGGCCGCCAGTCTCAAATAGCCTATTTCTTTTGCATGTATACAATCCAGGGCAACAACTGACCGGTTCTATACTTCCAGCGTCTCTTGGGGCTTTATGAGTCTCAAAATGCAATTTAAGTTGTTCTGAGCACTTCATTAGGCCCATTCATTTTATCTTGAAAGCTTTTGATACTACAAGTTCAGGTTCAAGTTCAAGTTCAAGTTCAATATAAAGTTAACAAACGAAAAGATAAGAACTAGCCATACAAACCGCCAAAAGACTCGAACTTGGGCTAGTGAAATAAACGAATTGCAGCTTAATAATGATTAAAAAAAAAAAGTTAATCCTGTATAACCTAATATGTTGGGCGATTATTTAGCTTTGAAACAGCATGCAACTATAGCTTAGCATAGACGAGGTCCGCGAATGACTTTTACAATTTAATGTAATTATAATTGTAATTTATTTGCATATCATTTGAACAAGGAGAGGATGTCTAAAGTTGAAGACATTAACGAAAATTAAGTATGCTGTTTTCTTACGCATTTGCTTTCCTCAATCTGCCGGTATACAATGCCTCGAAACTCAGTCATTTTTTCTGCATCCCACTGGTCTGGAACACTGTAGTCCTCAAACAGTGCGTCAATATTCTGGAGTGTCTGGTAAACAGCCTTTTCAACACCAGAAACCTTCAGAAACAAGAGTTGAAGAATGACCTCATGTCCACAAAAACAACCTAAAGTAATGCAAAATTAAACGGTTATTGAAAGTTTTTACCTGATTGTTGCTGGACTCGAACACATTTTGCGGGAAAGAAATGGGAACGCGCTCGTCCAAGCATTGCGAAGGGAAAAGGCCACCCTAAAATAAAATTGTATTTAGTTAAATAATATAGCTATATATATATATATATATATATATATATATATATATATATATATAGTACACACACATATACACATATATATATATATATATATATATATATATATATATATATATATATACACACACATATATATATATATATATATATATATATATATATATATATATATATAATAACCTAAATACTATATACATATATATGATCCGAGATCTGCAAACGATTCTTACCGCAGTCTCTATAAATGCACATGTTTTCTCCATTAAGTCCTTTCGAAGGATGCAGTTTGTTGGCAATGACCAAACCTGCGCAAAGCAGAAAAGGGTGCACAGCCAGGCCACATAATGAAGGTCCATTCTGAGAGATGCCTATATAGAGGATCGGAGAGTATGAGTTTAAAGCAATAGGATTCAGCAATTTCAAGCAATAAATAATTAAATTAATTATAAGCCTCTAAATTTGACTGCTTACCTTGTTGAATCGTTGTGTATCCTTCAAAACTTGTGTTTGTTGTTATATGATATACTCACAGCAGGTCTGCAGTTTATATACTGCATTTTGGATCGAAAACTGTTGGGGGATCATTGATGTACGTTCTGTTTTCGAGACGTCTTTAACTTCGCGGTTTGTTTTAATTATGCTGACTGGCGTGTGTATGCCAATTCAAGACAGATTTCCCCTCTATGAACGTTATGAAGCCACAAGACCATGTTAATCTCATGTTGGAGTCACAACTAATGCTCTTTAATTTATATTAAAAAGGTTAATGGTATCTAACAGCCCAAGGTACAAACGAAACCTAAAAAAAAAAAAAAAAAAAAAAAAAAAAAAACATGCCAACGTAGGCTATTTGTAATTGTGGCAGATGAGTAGTGATATCTTTTCGTTTTGTGGCATGTTGACACACGTTTATTGTTCACGATAGAACTATTTGTTGACAACTTAGCTATAATTTAGGCTACAACTTACTGAAGGCTTAGTCACACAGATGAGGTGATCGACAAAAAAATCAGTTAAAACATTTTCTAACGTATCCAAGATGATCAAATACAAATCACCAAATTATAAAATAGCCTACTAATTTTGATGAGATTGTGTTGGCAGATTTTAGGCTTATATTTTACAGTCTCTTATAATGTGATGAGAATTACATTTGTATTACAATTAAAACAACTGATTTTCCTTGCGTCAAGTGTCAAACACTTAAAAAGACTGGTATAGCAGCACAGGTGAAAAAAAAAGAGTAAAAAGAGAAATGTTAAGTAACTTACAGTGAAATAAGGAGGTTAACCACAGAATATGCTTATAACACTGTGTGGCTATTTGTGACATGCTGTACGGTCATTTCCAAATGTGCCTGCAATCACAGATCCTTTCTTTGGTAGATTTCTGGTCATTCTTGCCTCTGGTTTTGGTATTGGTCTTGGCCTGCGGTATCGTTGGGTATTAAACTAGACCAAAGTCACAAATGCTCTTTTTGAAACAAAATCTGTTGACTGATGTTAATTTTAGGCTTCTTTTTAGACCAAAATCTATTCTGAAAATAATTAAGAATAATAAATAGACTATAATACTCTAATATTATAACAATGCATTGTGCCTTTTATTTAGTTATTTATAATACAAATGACAATTATTTAAATTCATTTTGAGAGCACACTATAGACACTAGAGCTGGGATTTGCCCAAGATGGCATCCGTGCGTTTTAATCTTTGTGGTTGTGGTTTTACGTGCAAGAAGAAGAAGAAAAGAAAAAGATTTGTCGTTGTAGTTTGTTTCTAGTGAAATACAATAAATGACTGGTATTTCAACCTCGTGGGTAAATGGAGAGACCCCCGGTGGCATTATACCTTGGAAAGTGAAAATGAGGACAGGGAACTGAAACAATGAACCAAGCTGTGATCAAGAAAAATCACATTCTTTCCTTTAACGGGTTGTTTGAGGGCAAGAGGAATCGAGCACTGCTGGTCTGCCAAGTGCCTCCGGGCTTGGCAGAACCAACCCGATCTCTGATTAATAAATCTCTCATTGTAGGCCTACTCATCAACACGTGTTTATGACTTATTTTTCCAGACAATAAGTTATTATTGTCATTCCCTGTATAAATACACACACACACACACACACACACACACACACACACACACACACACACACACACACACACACACACACACACACACACACACACACACACCTCAACAAATCGAGTAGAACTAGAACTTTTGATATTACGTTTCTTAATTTGCCAAAATGTGTAAATTCACTGCATGCGTTAATCAAACGCGAAAGCTACATTTTATCTTCTAATTGTGTAATGCTTTCGATTTGATAGCATCTTTCCTTGTTAAAAAAACATTCTCAAAGTGTTTGAAAAATAATATAAGTAAATAGAAATATGCATTCTCAGGCATTTCTTTTCAAATGTTTATTTTGCAAAAAAAAAAAAAAAAATCCCCTCAACTTGTTTAAAGTCGTCATGAAATCAAAATTGACACTATTTTCTTAGCGCACATCGAATGCAGCCTCCAGTTGAATGCGAAATTGAATTGAAAGAAATTGAATTAAAGTTTTTAATCAAATTGGCTGTATAAGTAATTTTAACTCATAAATATTTGCTAGTTAAATCTTGTGTTACTTAATAAAAATAATCAAGCAGTAATTTGTTAAATTATTGCTACTTTTTAGAGTGTAGCCTAATAATCTCTCATTACACAATGAGACAAATCCATACAAGCACGTTTAAGTCACAAGGTCGGCTATACACAAACACAAGTATGAACAAAAATCATGACAACAAAAGAAACATTTTTATCTCTTCTTTAAAATTTTGAGATTGATATTTGATTTTGATATTGTCACTGGACTGGAATAAGGGATTTTTTGAATATATTTCCAGTGCATGAAGATTGAATCATCTAAAATGCAGATTTTTTTTTTTTTTTTTTACATTTTTGCTCAAACTAATTAGTCAATATTATCATAAATATGATTTTATACAGATTAAATGTGTACCAGTCTGAGAGTTTAGTTCTCCCTCGTCCTTCTCTTTTCTCCGTTGAAGTCTAAGGGTCGCTGTGTCCATTTCTTTTACTGTCTATGGTCCTACGCTACAATCCAAGGGTCTTTTTTCTTAGGGAATTCCGCTGTTGCCAATGGCTTGCTGAGAGTAGGCCAACTCTTTTTTTTGAAACTGCATGCGTATACTAAAAAAAGTCCCAGTACAATTCAGTTGAACAGAAGCAGACACTGCCACCTAGTGTCAATTAGATTAAGAAGCAAGCGCATCAGCTCAACCACTCCCATAGACAGTAAAAGTTCACTCCGACAAATAGACAAAAGGAATTATAGGTAAACAGAGTAACCTTGATTCTATAAATTCAGTCTGAATCTGGATAATTCCATTTCTAAGACCCAAAAAACATGATTAAACATCTATGCTACAAAGAAAAGACAGCCAACTGAGCAATAATCCAAAGCAATGAAGGAACGAGAGGCACATATGATTAAGATACAATGTAGTTTTATTTAACACAGCAAAAAAAAAAAAAAAAAAAAAAATCATAACACACAAAATCCTTGTAATGTCAACATACTACTACAACCGTATACAAATGTAAGTAATTTTAGCAACAAAGTTATAAAGTGATGCATTCCAACTTCCCTCAATTCCTTATGAAATTACACAACTTTCTTTGCTTGACATCTGACCTGACCTTCAAACCTCAAACTGTGTGGCCACTGTATCAGCCACTTAAAAAAACAGAGAATTGCTTTGGAAATAGTGAAGAGGAATCTGGGGTCAGTTGCACTGAAATCAAGAGGTTTACCACAGAGTATGACCGTAAAGCAGCACTCGTTTGACATTATGGTCAATACCAAACATTAAAGAGAATACAATCATTTTTGATGGTCACTTCTCTGGAAAATATTGGCAACTGTGTGGGTTGAGAAAGTTGTGGTCAATGAGGGAGGTCCCGAGGGAGGTCCCATGGGAAATCCTCCTCGGTATTACTGTCAGCACCTTCAAACTCATTCCAGGAGATGTCATTTACCTGGCAAATTAAGTTATTTAATAGTTAGCTCTCTGATCAGCTCTTACTAAACCACAGGACAAGAACTGAAAGTGACTGGCTAGTTCCTTATGGCAGATAAGTTCCTCATAGCAAAACCTACGAACTGATTTCAGTAGACTTGAATTACAGTAATCTGGTATGCATGGGCAACATTTAATACATTTTAATACAAGCTTTAATAATATATAGGCAAATGATGACTGAAGATTAGAATTTAGTTTTCTGGAAATGGAATAAATTTGCTAAGTTATTGACTGAAGTGTAACACTTACTTTTATGACTCCTTCTGAGTTCTCCTCGGGAAGGATCTCATCTGGATCATACTTGATTTCAATTGCTACTTTTCCATTGCCTATGAGACATTAATTACATAAAATGGATGTTCCCACAGTCTGCAATGTACATTGTAAAATGGCTGAATAGGTTGTGTGATACTTACCCAAGATCATGAGAAGCACTTTTTCAAAGGCAACCGCCACAGCTTTATCCTTGGCTCGTTTCATTAATGTCCCTCGTTTTCTCAACTTTTCCTCCGGGTCTCAAAAGATTTTAGTAGATGTGAACTCATAACATGTTTCACATGAAAAAAAAATCTATATATTGCACACACGCATGCTTGCTTGCACGTACACTCACACACACGAAACTACTATATTGCATTTATTTGACCATATCATCATGTAGGACTATAATTACATGACAAGAACAAGGTAAAATAAATTTAAAAAAAGTAAATAAACAAATTCACAAACAAAGAAGTTAAATAATTATTAAAATACTTATAAATGTAATTAATTTAAATGAATGAATTTCATTTAAATATGATTATTATTACATTTATTATTATTATTATTATTATTGCATTACAAGTGGATGAATTACAAGTAATGAGAGTTACGTAATCAGATTAACTTTTTTTTACATGACTAAATGTACAGTTACTGTTTTCCCATTTATTGACTGACCTCTTCTGTCCCCGTGTTGAGAGAAATCGGCAGTAAGTTCAGAGGTGTAACATGACCGTTTTTATAGCTCTGGACTAAATGTGAGCATGCATTTACTCATCTCACTTGCACCAAATAGATTTAGTGTTCCTTAAAATAATTCAAAACAGTGAAATGCAAACTCAGAACATTACGCAAACTTGCATTAATCAAATATGTTAAATAACACAAATATACTATGGATTTAATCTCACTACATTAACCAGTGTATTTGCTGCAGATCAAATTCAACCATACAAATAAGCAAAAATTTACTTAGCTAAACATCAGATTTGTGTTTCATTTTGTTTTGTTTTTTACTGCTGAATTAAGAGTATTGAACTTTCTTCTCCTGTGTCCTAGTCTACTGCGATCCAGAATGGCAGCACAGCTGAAAGGTTTGTTTGATCTGTGCCCTCTCCTGTACAGGCATGAATTCGCATTTCCTTCAGAATGAGGCTTAATCTTATCACTTTTTTCGGTGAGAAAGGGCCTTTACATTTGCCAAAACAGAACTTTTGTTTGTTTGTTATTAAAAAAACAAGCAAGCAAGCCCAACCAAAGTAACAGCAAAGTAACAGAACACATTACTTTCCATGTAAAGTAACTAAGTTGCTTAATTCATTACAAGTAACTTTCATTTACATTTACATGTATACATTTAGCTGACGCTTTTCTCCAAAGCGACTTACAATTGCTATATGTCAGAGGTCACACGCCTCTGGAGGATCTA